GGATAGATGGCTGCCTGGCGAGCTCTCTCCTGGCTGGAATCAACCCTTGCGGATGAGGTTATCTTTACAGGAGGTGGTTTTTCATCTCAGGATGCTTCATTCGCTTTGTCTGAGACCTCTCTCCATTCTAGGCAGTTCCTTGCACTTTTTAGCTTGGTGGAAGTTTGCGCTTCGTCACTGCCAGTGTATCTTGAGCGCATCTCATTTCCCTCCGTCTTTCCTCACTCTCTTGTTGCTGTCGTTGTACTGGTGTGGAACCTTCCGGCGCTCTTGTTCCCTTGTCTGATGAAGTCAAATACCTAGGAGTTTATCTAGACGAATGTTTCTTATCGTGTTTCACAAGCAGCTTCTGTTTCAAAACTTTTCAAACCTCGTCTAGGACATAAATCTCTTCCTCCTTTATGGAAGCTCACTATCTACCGCTCGGTAGTACAATCCATTCTCCTTCACGCAATGGGAAGTGCTCAGCTTTTTCCCCATCCCAAGTCACACGCCTCAATCAGGTAGTTTTTAAATCTATACGCAGAATTTTCAGTATTAAATCCTCATTTTACCACAAAGTTTAAAACCCGTCCTCTGAAGATTGCTTTAGCCAATACTTTTCAGGTTTGGCTTTTAACTCCTTTCGACTTGTTACCCCCTCCCAAATCTCTTCACAAAACAGACTTACTCAATTAGGTCATTTCTTCAGACACCCTACCTCATTAGGGTTCCAAGCTACGTTTACAGCGTATTTAGCATTTAGAGTCAGACTTCCCTCCTTCACACTGCGACATACATCACTCCTTTTCCAGATCCCCAACATCTCTAATGTATTGCTTACCCACGTATCCAACTCTCTAATTTGGATGGACAACACCTCTTTGTTTAGACGCATTCAACCCCAAACTCACAACCGTAGGAAATCGATAAGGGTTGTAAATAAACCGGCTAGACAATACCTCAGTGGACAGCTGCCGAGGCTGACAGCCTTTAGACAAGGCATTGCGCAGAGCAAAGCAAAAAATGGGGTGTCATGGAAATGTTCGTTCGGGTCTGAAAGACTACTTTAAAGGCACTTGGTAAAGGCACTTGGGGGTATTTCTAAGTCAAAGACTTTTGGAGGATTCGGAATGGAAGACTACTCTCGAGCGCTTTGAGACGATTTGGGTTGTGACCGAAATGTTCGCGGGAGGGTCTGGAAGACTATTTCAAATGTCACTTTATGTTTTTTCTTTTTAAATCAACGATTTTCGGAGGGTCTGGAAAATTACTTTAAAGCGATTTGGAGTCGATTTGGGGTGTGACCGAACTGTCGCGACGGAAGAGGAATCGCTGGGCCGGTGGGCGACAGCATCAAAATTTAAAATCCTCCACTTTTCATTTGCGTATCGGAAGTCATGAAGCAAGCGTGCATCGTTGCTGCAGGATGACCAATTCGCTTGCAGTTTCAATGCTCAAGCCGCGCATGGTGATGGAGCAGGCGGGTAAGGCGATTCAAAGGAAATTGTACGTGGAGGCAAATGGGCAGGTTCCAGAGAAATGTTTTGTAGCCGGGCCCGGGCGCAAATTCGTTGCAGGTGAACGCAAGTCACATGGGATATGAATCGAATTGCGATTTTTGCGACAGGTTCTTGCCCAAGATCATACGCTTAGGAAGCTTTTGCAAGTGAGGTGAACTGAATTTTAATTATACTTACAAAGTGCGGTTTTTGTTGAGAGATTACGTACTTCAAATTTTTTGTTTTCCGACATCACAAAAAATGCTTTTTAGCAGCACGAACCTTCACAGCGGAACGCCTTGTCGTGGTCATGCCGCAGCTGCCAGAGCCAAACAGCTGTGGTGGCTTTGTTAGTGCCGATACACAGCATGGGAAGCATAAACAAATGAATATATATATATGTGTTTATACACATATATATATATATCCGGGCGTTTCAGAAATTGCCGCCTCGACAGCCAGTCGCGCTGGGTCTCTGCAAAAATGCAAGCTCTGGGCGGCTTGTGCCGTGGCAACGCCATGCGCTGCATCTTAGTGGGCACCTCGTGCTCGCTCGCCGCAGCTTGGCATGTTTAATAGCTCTCCAAAGCATGAGTTGTTGGGTGTTCCAAAAATCCGCCGGGCACCGTGAAGATGTGTTAGGTTTCAATGACGCCAAAGTGGGGCAGAGATGGAGCTCCGCGGCTGCACAATTTGTGGCCACCATGGCAAGGGTGTTTGACGTATGCTATTTTACATGCTGCTTTGGTCTAGGTTCCAATTTGCGAGACTGGAGAGGGCCCTAAGCCAAAATGAGGTTTGTCGTGCATACATTGTAGGTTATCCGGGGTGGAAGCCGCAGACAAATCAGTGCCAAGGGCAATTCATGATGTTGACCTGAGGCGCAAAAACTAAATGGGAACGTTTGCAACAGCATCTTGAGGTTTCTCTCTCTCTAAGATGTTGCAAGAATTTGCGAGGTGGCCAGCTAAGCAAAGGGTCCCAGAGTCTTCGAGGGAAGGTTTACGAGTTTTGGAAAGTGAGGTAATCAATGTGGTATCTGGATTTTTGCCCGTGATTAGCAGGCGTCTGCTATATTCTCTTGCCCTGGCGGAGGTGGGCCTCCAACATGCACGGTTGCTGGGCTGCACCCTAACCGCTACGAACCTCAAGCCCTACACCCTAAACTTCAAACTGTTTGGGGTTAAGCAGGGGATTGCGCCCAGGTGATGGGCGGACCTGTTTCGTGTTGTCTGGGTTTAGATTTCGCAGTAGTCCTGAATTATCTTGTAAGAGAGCCTTGATGTCACCAACTAGATGCCACAAGGCACTGAACAGACGTGCATTTTGAGGTGTAGGCTTCGCATGCCATGAATACACGTACTTTCAGTGCATCTTGCGGTCTGCATCTTCGCAAGCTACAGCAAGTGCTTGCGTCTTCCCAGTGCAGGATTGCTGCTGCGCCTACTTCCCTACGAACAAGTGCCTTGACAAAATGCTGCCAGGAGATTCAAGAGCAGTCATATGTAGGCTCATGCGTCTGGGAGTTTATGCGTACCAGCATCATTATGGTAGTCATAACCCATCTTATAACTAAGCATGACCTCTGCGTATGCATGGTTTTCACTCGTCCCGATGCCTTCCAGTGATTCGTGTCGGAGCAGGCGCACGTGCGGACATCAAGGAGGAGGTAAGCCAGGCCTCTGTTGCACGGATGTTCAGGGGGGAACAGGTGCCCTGGCATCATTACGGGACATGAGGTGGTTGCCGTCAGTGTTGGGTAAGGGAGGGTCCCGGCGTAGCGGGGCTGCTCGCTGAGCCAAGCTTGGCCAAATTCCAGAACTTGACTGCGGGGCCAGCGTGGTTTGCAAGGGTTTGCTGAAGGAGTCACAGATGTGCACATGCTCCCCACGATTCCCCACCCACTGAGTTGGACCGTCCAATCCCTCTGCGATTGCTCGTGGCTGCTGCGGAGCGCCATTGGGCGACTGTGTCCAGCCTGCAAGGATGCAGGGGATTCCTCAGATGTAGAGTTGCAACGGCGCATCAGCTCAGCTGGCCGTGTCTCAAGTCCTTGTGGAGGCGTAAAACGTCCTGTGCATTTTGTGCTCTGGTTGCCCCTGGTCTAGTCTAGTACGAATCTGCAGCTAAGGAAGTCGACAGTGAAGCTGACATTGATTGATTCGTGTCACCTACAGAGTTTCAAATCTCACGCAGTCACGGCAAGACAGATCCGGCTGACACTGCGTGATGCTGTGGTACAATGCGCAAAGATCTGCCTCAAATCATTTGTCCGTGCCATGCCGCAACTCTGTGCTATCTTCTGAGGCCTCCTACCCAGCCAGTGGACATGCACGGCAGTGTTGTGGTTATTTAGTGGTGCTCTCCCACGTGTTAAAAATTGCTTGGCCGTTGGGTTGGTCGGGCTTGGAACAGCGCAAGTAGCTGGCTGCAATAGTCCGGGACTAGTCCGGGAACCTGGAGGATGAAAACTCTCCAGGAGCGGGGATCCAGAACCGGGGACAGCTGCAGCCTGGCTGCAGCATTGCAGGACGGGGGGACATTCCAGGCACTTTGAACTGGCAAGTGGAGCCAGCTCAATGAAACGGAGGAGATCCAACAGCCCAGTGCTTCACAGGGGGCGGGCAGATGAGTGGCCATGAACCTGCCAATATTTGCTTTTCACAGCTCTTCCAGTCCTCGTGAGTACACAACATGCAGGGTCGTGTGGCATTTTTTAGCAAGAGTCAGCAGCAAAAGCGTGTGCTACCAACAGTTGCCAGTGCATTCAACCTGGAATGCATCATGGGCGGAAAGTGGCTGAGATGCTCGCTTATGCTTGGGCAAGCAAAGCCACCAGAAGATGTGAAGTTTGCCACAAAGAGCCGCAATAACTCAACGAAGCATGCCAATGTCGTTGCCCCAAGTGTTCACGCATCGCTTGATGCTGCAAGGGTTGCGTGATCTTTTGAATGAGGGCTTTTTCTGCCTGCTGACGTCCGCACTTTCCGTCCTCTACAGCCTCAAAATCAATTTTCCTCTTTTTATATGCGTTTGGCGTTTGGTGTCCGAGACGCTTGTGGCAATGCAGGGCATAGTAACTTTTCGACAGAGCGTAGCCTTGAATGCTCAAGTTTAAGTTTTGTGACCAGATCACCTTTTCTTGCTTTTCTGCAGTTCTGGTGTGTAGATGACACTTGTGCTTCCAGTCTGTGTGTGAATCTTTGCTGCAGCTTCCCCGCGGATCAAACCGAACCGGACCATACCGTGGAATGTAGTTGTTGCTTCAGAAATGATGAGACGCCTTCTGCAGCTTGAATGGTTTGGATCTGACATCGCATTAGTGATCGTGAGCAGCTTCCATTCAGGTCAAGTTTCCTCTATTTCGAAATCGCTGCCAGAGGCAGGGCATGACTGTTTGCGCGTTGCATGTTGGTGTCACCCTGCTTGGTTGGTGTGTTCCACAGCGTGAGCATTTCACAAAGCAAGCCCTTGCCCAGCTCTATTGTAGGAGAGGTAAGAGACAGTGGCCTCTGACAGGCACATGCCACATTGAGGAAATTGGCCAACATGGGCGCGAAGATGTTGAGGTTGATACTTTGAGTTGGCTGCAGACAAGGCACAGCGCAAGTGACTCCACGGATGATGTTTCCACCTCGCCTGCAAGCAGTGCTCGCAATGTACGGCCTGATGCAGCTAGAGTGAAAACCAGCACCGTTGACACTGTCGACACTGATGCGGAGCATGTGCATCACGTAGATGAGACTAATGAGAGTTTGAAGCCGAGCCCACACACCAGCAAGCAACACATGAAGGGGAAGATTCCATGGATAGTGGTGCATCACATTTGGACGGACGATGATGCACCAAGACATCATCACTGGTCCCACAACACCCGACACTTTGCCCATCCGCACCATCACACTGAAAGTCAGCACCATCATCACCACAGCTGGACGGAAGCGCCATGGTGGACAGATGACATGCATGCGCCTCCTCCTCACCCCACAGATCACCCTGATGACAGTGGATGGACCGACCATCCAGGACACAGGGTACCACATACAACTCCGCACAATCACAACAAAAATCAGCCCATCCACCAATGGCTAAGCACCAGCTGGCAGGACAATTGGAAAGATCTACCTGGCACCACCCCTACTACGACCTCTTCTGTAGCAGCGCCTGTCAGCACAACACATGTGCACACATCACAACCACTTCCATCAACAACATACACTGCGCCCCCATCAACAAGCATGATGCCAACCATGGCAGCAACAACCACGGCTGCAGCAGCAACCGCGGCAGCAACAACAGAAGCAACTACAATTACAACAGACTCTGGAGCCACAACTGCATCGACAACAACAGTTTCGAGAACAACAGCTTCAGGAACTACAATGACCACTGCCACCCCAACTAATGCCACGTCCTCCACCACATCCACCGTAGAAACCACGGAAGCGACGGAAACCACGCAAACCACGACTGCCTCGTCCACCACAGCTACAGCGACCACAACGTCCACCACAGACACCACCACAGCCACCACCACTACACCAAGCACCACACCCACTACCACACCCACCGCCACACCCGCTACACCTACCACACCCCCCACAGCCACCACAGCCACCACAGCCACCACAGCCACCACAGCCACCACAGCCACCACAGCCACCACAGCCACCACACCCATCTCACCCACCACACCCACCTCACCCACCACACCCACCTCACCCGTTACACCCACCACACCCGCCACACCCACCACACCCACCACATCCACCACAATTACCACACCAACCACAACCACCACACCAACTACCACGCCTGCCACACCGCCCACAACCACAACCACGACTGCGATCACAACGACACCTAGTCCTCCAAGTACGCCTGCAACCACAACAACTTTCCTGGAAGTTGCTCTGCTTGAATTTGTCACCGGTCGCTTACAGCGGCCATCGTCGTCGTGGTCGTTGTGGTAGTAGTAGTAGTAGTAGTAGTATAGTAGTAGTACTACAAGACAAAGAAGAAGAAGTAATGATGGTGATGGTGGTGGCGGTGTAGGGTAGGATAGGGTAGGAGAGGGTAGGGTCGGGCAGGGTAGGGTAGGGTTGGTAGATTGTAATGCGTTTGACGGTGTGTCTGCCAAGATGCATCCGCCCGACATGTCCAACAAGCACTGCCGTCCCCTGGACGCTGCCGGAAACCCAACTGGATTGCATGTCCGTCTACGAAAGGAGGTGCTGTGTTGCATGTCTGTCATTGCAAGGTGTCTTCGTAGCTATGTTTACACTTAAACTTACTGTTGCTTAGACTAGAAACAGGTACATAATGTCAATGAAGAAGAGTGGGCAAGATTTCGCGATGGCATGCGGGCGCTGAAGGTCCGATTCTTGCAAGACCCGCATCTTGATGCACTCTCACATTTTCTTGCACTTTCTGTCTAAGCTTATTGTTCGTTTTATACATGGCATGATTAGTGCTGAGTGTATTTTCACTGCATCTGGATAGTAAGGGCTGCATTCCAGTGTCCCACGCAAAGCCAGGGGTTTTGCAGCGATTTTCGCGATTACCCACAGACATGGGAGTCCTTCATCTCACTTTATCCTCGGCTGCATGATCAGCCAACTGACTTTTTGGTGGCTCACAGAAAGTTTGTGTATGATATGGAGACAACACTTCAAAATCTGACTGGAAGCTGTGAGCTCTTCATCCCGTACTTCCAGTCTTTTGCCTTCTCTGTTGATCCTATGTCTGCTCCTGTGTGGTCAACGGACCGCTTGGGAAGCGTGCCATCCTGGTGGGAAACACGAGATTGCGAGTATGGCTTTTTCAGCGACCCAGCCTGGTGTGTGGATGATGGCGTTGCCCAAGGCCTTGAGTAACATCAGGAAACTGGTAGTTGCAGGCAACCTCACTTGAAGGTCCTTTGACAGTTGGGCTGTGTATTCATCCTAACGTAGTAGCCGCATTAGCTTTAGTTCTATCCTAATTGTCCTAATTCGGCTGACATCTCCATCAGTGATTAATGGGGCTCAGCCTGTTGTGACTTCGTTTGGACAACTTGCTATGGCTCCAGCAGATAAAGCCGGAGTTGATGTCATGCCGCCAGTCAGGGTGGACATCGTCTGTTGCCGGTGCCCCGCAGTGCGGTGGATGCATCGCTCGAAACCTGGCAACAGAAACAGCCAGCGTCAAGTCTTCTAGTTTCAGGCCTTCGCACATGCAATTGGGTCTTGTTTCACTTGTGAAGGTGGGCTCAAACTCCATTGTTGATTGTGGAGGTTTCACGTGAAGTAAATTGATAGGCAGTCAGTACAGGCAGAACAGGTGAGGAGTGCCCATCTGCCTTGATGCGGATAGACTCCTGGTAGAATCCCTCATTGCTTCAAGATATTTCAAGCAACGCGCAGGATTGCTATTCTGTGACTTGACGCCAGCAGCTTTGACTGGGGTGTTTGCCATAGACGTGTGCATGTGCAAATGAAGTGGAATGCGGCAGCGAAGGAGGATGGTCGCTTAAAGATTCACTTGTAATCAGACTCTTATGGCTGGTGACTAGCAGGTACCAGGCGACAGTGTTTGCATCAGGAAATCCTCGGGGCATCACCACAAGCATTGGCGTGAACATGGCCCAGGCTGGAGCCCGAGAAAAGGCTTTGAGCCTTCCACGCAACGTGAGACTTTCCATAGATCTCCAGCCGTTAGCCTGATCCCTTTCTTCAGGTCTTGGCTGGTATGCGTTCCCCTTCCCGGCGAACTTTGGAGGACACCTCGACAGCCTTGAGCCGACAAAACAAAAGTTGAAGATAGTTAAAGCTCGATGCCTGACATGCCAGCCACCTGTGACACAGAGTGCCCGGTCTTGGCATGTGTTCTGCATCTCCAGTGTAGTGACATGAAGAGATCATGAAAAGCTCCGCTTGCTCGGCAAGGATTTCACGTCTTGGATTGATCCCATCCACGGTTTGTTGCATGCAACTCGCCGCATGGAGACGGGGAGACGGAGAGGGAGAGAGAGAGCCGCCCCACAGATTCAGGGGGCAGTGATCCACGAGGAGCCGGTTTTGTGTCGTCTGGGTCTTTCTGGGAATCGTCGATTCGTTTTCTCATAGTTTTCCATAACTCTGGGGAACGCTGGTATAGAAGGCCCTGATGCCAACAAAGCATCTGCACAAGAAACACGGTGACCTTCTGGAAAACCTGGCTTTTGAATATCAGGTGTTTTGTCTGTTTGGCCAAGGTGATCCTGTCATGATCTATATGGCTCCAGAATGCGTGTCTCCGCAAACCACACAGGGCCGTCTCACGCAGAATATTTCTCAGCAGAATCATTTTGGGGGGGCGAATGCGCCCTTGCGTATGACAATCCCCTCAAGGCAACGTTATCAACGCAAAGGAGAGAAACAAAGCCAAATAAGTCTCCACTCGGAATGCAGAAGAACAAGTCTGCACCTGTTCTCCTCCTTTGGAGGAGTTTGCTGGACACCCGCGCATTAATCCTATTGAGTCCCGCACCCCGCAGGGAAGCCGGCTCTGGTGGCCAAATGCCCTGTCAGGGGTCGGGGAGAAAATTCAACCTGATAGGCGCGCGACACCAATCAGGAAACCTAGGTCCGGGGTCATCCTCTCTCCTCTCCTCTCTCTTCTCCTCTGTCTTCCCTCCCCTCTCCTTTCTCCTCTCCTCTCTCTCTTCTCTCCTCTCTCTTCTCCTCTGTCTTCCCTCCTCTCTCATTTCTCCTCTCCTCTCTCTCTTCTCTGCTCTCTCTTCTCCTCTGCCTTCCCTCCTCTCCTCTGTCCAAAGTCAAGTCCAAAAGTGACGACAGTTCTGCGTTTCGCGACCATTTCGCGACTGCGAGGCGTGCACGACACTCGCGGACGATTGCGGACGCTTGCGGACGCTTGTGAACACAAACGCAACGACTTCTGGTCACCTCCTGGACCCCAACCTTGAAACGGGAACCCTTCTGCGGAGCATTCAGGAAAACCTAGGTGTGCTGTCAGTCCGTCGGTTTGAAGCCCCAAACTTACTTGGCAACCAATGTGTAGATGCAGTGAATTGGTGTAGAGAATAGGGGACTGCATTGCAAACAATGTTCTTACGGAGCAGGAAACCTCAGAAGTTGTGGAGGGGAGTGTTGAGATGCAATCGTATTTGGGGTTAAGTGCCACAGAAGTAATCTGGCGTGCTGAAGCATATTGAGATAGTGCAAGCAGAAGTTCCCGTAGAAAGAGATTGTGCGGAGCAGTGAATAGTGGTGGAGAGTGCATGTTGGGTTTGGCTTTGCCGTATTTGGGAATCGGAATTGTTGGCACTCCGGGCCTTGTGGGAGACAAACTCGAAGCCAATGGTTGTGACCCGGACGTGCCCTGCAAGAGGAACGTGTGGCCCATAGAAGAAGAGGCAGCAGCATTTTTTCCTCGAATGTGCTGCTCGCCAGCTTCTGTTCTCTGTTCTAGGATGTTGTAGTGAGCCTTTCAGGTCATCATCGGAGGAATCATGGGATACATACAGGACGCTCCCGCAGATCCAGCATTTTTCCTGCACCACTCGAACGTGGAATGGGCGTTCCACTGGTGGCAAGTCAATAACGTGCTGCGCACAGACATCTTAAATGCAGATACCTTCAACTGTGCTACATGTGGCCAGAGCATGGCTGGATATGGCGTGCCGCGATCAGAGTGGATGGGGCATGGCTACGACGCTGCGAACAGCTGCATTATGCTTCCCAAGACCAACCCAGTGGCATGTATAGCTTACGAACCTTTTGGTGGTGAAGATCCTGGGCCTGGTGCTTTCAGAGGTTTTGGAAACTCTACTCTTGGGTCAGCGGCACACTCCGCTTCGGATTGCAACCTCCTCATCGCCAAGATGGAGACGGGCAAGTGCCTGCCGGATGTGCTGCACACGATAGCAAAGACCTTCAGTTTCAACAAGGAAGTATTCGTTGCTGCATGTCATGCTTCTCGGTCATGATTTAGGGTTTTGGAATCCGGTCTAGCGCTGAAAAGGTGTAAGGTCTGGACTTTGCAGCAGTTAACGCAATTCCTTGTGCCCTTGCCAAAAAAGGCTTTCCCGGAGTCGGGACGCGGATCCATGGATGATGCACGCATTGCCGACATGGAGAAGCAATGTGATGATGTCTGCTGTCAGGAGCAAAGAAGGATAAGTGCGATTCTGTCCCCAAGGAACTTTTTGTAGATGTGCTATGTTGGGGTTGGTCTCTCAGTGCCGCAAGGGCCTGCAGAAGACGTCATGCTAGCAGATCCGCGTGTTGATTCGTCCAAACCTGCTTCCATACGACTTGTGTGCTTTCACGGGTCCCTGAAGGTGAGAGTTTCAGTGTTGACAGTGTTCCTCAATTTCTTTTCATTATGAGGTTCAACTAGCGATCATGGTTAGGTGCTGCCACCCTCAGGGGTCTTTCCAAACGAGGTTGCAAGCGAGATAGAAGCGGACGATTCGAGCGCAGTACATGGTGATCCAGAAAATGAAGTTGAACGCATCAGCGGCATGAAATGTTCCGAGGCCATCCAACTTTGCCCATGAGCCCAAGATATGTTCTGAACTGTTGTACTGTTGAAAACATGCAGCAGCCTGTACAGATCCTTCTTTTCCGCGGAAGGAAGCTTGAAGGTCTTCATTTCATCGCCCGCGATGTGGTAAATATTCCAAGGTCCCACAGCCGCCGTAGGTAGACACTGGAGCTAGGATGTTTACATGTGGCACGCAGCTTCGGCTCAATGAGCTCCAGATGGAAGAAAAGACTTAGAAAGAAAGTTGCTTCGCAGCCATGGCATCTGTGCTACTGGATATTGATAGCCGTCAAAACCTATGGCTGTTTCATCATGGCTTGTACAGTTTCACATAAGTAAGACGTCACGGCTTATCGAGATATTCAGTGCAGTGTTTGTGAGACTATGCTCTTGACATCAGACAAAGTTGCGAAATCTACGGTAATGCTTAGACATGTTGAAGATGATGATGATGACGTCGAAAGCTTTCGTGGCCGCAGCCTTGAAAGGTCTCTGGCACAATGAATTTCTCAACGCTAGGCTTGCAAAGGTTGTAATATTGCAAGCTGAGCTCGCCCGCCTTGAAAGATGCTTGAGGTACTCTCCCCAGAGTCACAGGAAACGAGGACACGACACACTCTATTGATAGGCTGCATGCTTCAAGACCATCGCTGAGGCTTCACATAGCATTTCCTCTGTGTCTTTTCCATGGTGCATCGGCAGGAGCCTTTCCGGGAATCGGTGCCGGCTGCGGACCCTGCGGACCTGGAACAGGCATTCCCCGCCTTCCCGGGACCGAGCCTTCTCACAAAACGTCAGCTCCAGTCCCGGGATGAATGTGCGCTTCAGACCCCAGAACAAGCAGCAACAGTGGAAGGCCTCCGAAGAGAAGACGCCCCCATATTTTGTATTTTCGCAACACATTTTTGCAGTTTCGCAGGCCTGCTGGTATCAGTGTCAATGATGGCAGATCCTGCTACCAAAACTATTGCCATGCGGAAGTGTCTTGACTGCCAGCTCGTGCGTGCTCTCTGGCCTAGGGCTCCGCCCTATTAGCAGCCTGAGCCATGGAGCCAAGATGGCAATTGAGCTTATATGCTTTTCGACACCATCGCAGGCATTACAAGGGACAAGTAGCAATCCCCTACTTTGTGACAATTACTATGTCGCCATGCAGTAAGAATTAGGCACGTGGATATTCAATGAGCATGGAGCTATTAGTGTGTAGCAAGCCATGAGGCAAAACCCCACCCCAACCTAGAGTGAGCGATGGACTTGGGGACAGGCCCCGAAGGTTTGTAGGTAGGCCTGACCTGTCCACCTGTGCCTTCGCCATGGGACTCTGGGAGGCAGTGCAATGAGGGCTGCTACAGGCTCTCGAACAGAAGATGTGGGTTTAGAGTCTTCTTGAGGTACGGTGAAGCTCCCCGGCTCCCTTTTTCCGGGTGCGCCCTTTGAATCATGCGCGTGAACTGGATATGACCACCAGCTGTGTTCTCTTGTTTTCTTGGTGCAGCTTTCCTGAACGGAGGCGAGATGTCATCTGCCAGCTGGCAGCTCAGGAGCCTGGGATTGCACATCAGCTTCCCTTTCCGCACCGAATTTCAAGGCCGAGAGCCCAAGCCACGGCGTCCATCTGAAGACCGGAGGCTCCGGGTTTCTGCTTTCGGCAAGCAGACCTCCTTGTGGCCTTGACAGGGAGCCGAAGGAGCCCAGGGAATCAAGGGAGCCGCGCCCGCCCAAGGCCTGATCCTCACGGATGTTCATCAAGCTGTTTTGCTAACATCAAGCTGACTGGATTTGTAAAGACCCGTGAGGTCAGCAGAGAAGGTAATATTCATGTCAATGCTACGCGCCTAGGAAAAGCGGGAGTCTAGCCATGCTGGCGAAGCCCCCTCCTCAGCTGCTTCGACACCAGAGCTGGCAGCATGGCATCTAGTGCAGAAGTTCTTGCGCTTTGTTGTGTGCCCCCCTACGAGCAGACATTAAACTGCATCGTAAACGTGCTGTTTGTGAGGGCCGCAGCGAGCGGGACCGCCGATTGCCCAGACAGGGCTGTACGCTGGGTGTTTCAATGGCATGACTTGCACGGTGTGAAGCCTATTTTGCGATAAGATGTTACAAAACATTATATAATTTTGGCAATGTGGCCTTGTGCTTTAGATATCTGCTCCTCCTCTCAGCATGTATTTGTCATGGCAAACTGGGAGGCAGCCAAAGATTCATTTTTGCATTATTCGTGGTGTCCATTTGGTGAAGGGCCATGGAGAAGCTCGGCGCGAGCAAAGCTTGAGAAGCACTCGAAAGTCATCTTTCTGAGGAGAGCGCGAATCGCGGCATCGTGGTGAGGCAGGGCAGTCCCAGTGATTCTCGAGGGAGCAGCTACGTATCATCCTTTCGAATGTCAAGTGTGATTACATGCTGCCTTTGCGGTGATGTTGGCTCAAATGCGATTCATATTTGGCCGAGTTGGGACTTTTGCTACATGCCCTGCCTGTGGCTCTGCAGGTCTGGCAGGTGCCTCGATTTTTCTCTGTGATTGGCTGATGTAGCTTCCACGATGGCAAGAGCGTGGTTTGCCTGGCTTCCTGTGCCAACCATGTATTAGCTCAGGACATGCGTAGTGTGACGGCATGGATTTTGACAGCCGGTATCGGAAGCTGCGCTGGCTTCCCCAGAGGCGATGAAGTTTGAAGGGGCTCATAGGTCCTTTCAGGACTGGATTTGACCGTACTTACTTATGACGTTGAAATCTACAGCAACACATCAGTTGTACTACTTTATCTCCCCAGCTGGCTGGACCATGGAAGAGCAACTTGTGTTAGCATGCCTCTGGGCAGTACTAGGTCTTGTTCTGGCCTCTTGGATATGTTGTCGTCCCTGAGCTTTTTGTCGGGTTCATGCGTGGGACACTGTTCAGACAAACCACCAAACAGGATTTTTGATGCTTCTTTACTTGCCGTACAATTCGGAACTATACCTGACAACCAAGTAATATATGCTAGATTTCATGCCGCAGGTTCTCGGACAGTGTATGACGGCTTCGCTGTATCTTACCCTTGCAACTCAACGATCTGTGATGGGCCCCGAGGCTTCAAAATTGTAAGGGATGCATGTGACATAAAGGAGTCGTCACAAAGGATCTGTCAGTCCGAACTGAGGTACATGGTCCATCGATCATGTAGTGCCGAGAGACCGTGTCCTGCTGTAGTCATCATTCAGGCTGGCCAAAGGATCAACTAGACACAGCAATGCCCTTCTTGTCCAATCTTCATACGCAGGTCCCTAAATCTGCATCCAGCCTGTGCAGGACTGGACCGGGATGGATGACTACGAGATGGAGCGGGCGCGCATGCTGGCTGAGTTAGGCTATGTAGGCTTTGCAGCTGATATCTATGGCCGTGGCACCCCTGTAGAAGATCGATCAGATTGGGCTGCTGCAGCGGGGCGACACCGAGGGGATCCAACCCTTTACATGTCGAAGATCAACGCAGCACTGAACGAGGTGAAGTCGTATGGTTTCGTTGACAGTTCGAAGGTGGCAGTCATTGGGTATTGTTTTGGCGGCACAGGAGTTGTCAACATGGCAATTCTTGGCGCTGACGTGCTTGGAGTTGTAGGCTATCACTCCGGCATCCAGCCGAGTCGCCGAGTGGTTCGAGATAACAGCTCAGGCCCAGTGGTGGCTAAGGTTCTTTTGCACTCTGGAGTCCAGGATGATCTGGCCAGTGACATAGCTTTGCTGGAGAATGAATTTGAGGATGCCAATGCCACGTTCGAGATCGTGCGTTATGGTTCCAATGTGCTCCACACATTTACAAACTGGTACGCAAATGATCCTGGCACTGCCATGTATAACCATCGCGCGGATGTGAGGTCTTGGGAGAGCACCAAGCTATTCTTGTCGGAGCTCTTTGAAGGACTGAATCTTTCGAATCGTAGGGGCTGCATATCAGTGTCACTGCTTTGATTTGCCCGAAGGACTTTCAATGCCCGAGCGTGCAACAGACACTGCGGCCACTGCTCGCCAGCAAGAGGTGCCTGAGATTGATGGCAGTTTGCTTCCAGAAAAGGCTTGAGCAACTCAGTTCACAGGAGCAGATGCCTCAAACTCAGTAAAGCTGCATTCTGCATACTATGTGCAGCACATCCAATGCGAAGGTGTTACCATGAAGCAAGAGTCCTCGTTCTGCTGATGGCAGAGAGCTTCCATTTGTGCATCTCAAGTCGCTGCAGAATGCAGCCTTCAGACTCCGTGGAGAGGCGGTTTAAACTGCAGTTTCATGCTGGCACCATGAGCCCAGCATGGCCTGTACATGTGCACTGTCTGCCTGTCAAATTCTAGAAGAATCTGGCGTAGGCTCGATAAACTGAATTTGGTGTGCCTGAAATTGAATTGGCGAAAACTTGAGCAGCAGGTCTGGCTTTGGCTGCTGGAAACAAGCGCCACCAGACTTCACCATAACTCAATGTGCCGCACAAGTCGGGTGCATGAGTTGCAGGGGACATGCTGCAGCTTGGTCGATCTGCAGTTGCTCGATTTTGCACAGGCACAGTCAAAAGGTGACCATTTTGCTTGATGTGTGCAGCATGGCGCTGTGCTTGAGAAAGACTTGAATGACATCTTTTGGCGTCAGCCTCCTGTCTCCCGCTGGCGAGGCTTCTCTCAAGGAGCCTGGTCGAGAGAAGCCCTCGTCCACTTCGCCTGCATCCCCTGCACGGCAGGATGCTCCGACTTTCTGAACGTTAGGGAGGGAAGCCAAGCGAAGCACAGCACCTCAGAGCGCACGCAGCATACATCGCATAGCTGAGCTGAAGGCGGCTTGTCGGAAACCATGTCTCCAACAGATTGCCAGTCTGAAGATGTGTCAGCTCTTGTCAGCCCTTCCAATATTCATGGCAGCAGGACCAGGAGTCCTACCTTGACAGCCTGATTGCTGATTGCACGGACAAGTGCGAAGCTGAGATCAATTGGGGTGCATGCCCAGACCACGAGCCTCGCAGCCCCAACGCTTTCAACAAAGTGGCAGTTTCTTGGATTCCGTTTGCATCAGCTGAAGGCGGCCTGACGGTGCGGCACCTGTGGACCCCTCGGATGCCAGGAAGTACAAGAGTGGTCAAGTCTGCAGCGTTTGCGACAGAGTTGTGACAAGTGTTGTTGTTTGGCAGGCTACAAGATTTGCACATCATGCAGTGTTGACTACAGGCTCATGCTCGAGACATGCCGAAGCGTCCGTCCTCCCGCGGGATGCCTGGAATCGTTGTACCCTTCTTTTGCCTGCGACCGCGAAGCAGCAAAGCTTCCCTACAAAGAGTGGTGTGACCTGATTCAATCAGATAGACGACGTGACTCCAGGTGCTGACTCACGGCCGAAGGGCAGTGATGCTGAGCGTCGACCACGCAATGCAGAGGCCTGCAAATGACTATCAAGATTGAGCTTTAGAAGGGACATAGTAAATTTAGCAGTGCTTTCTCCTGCAGGAAGCTCCGCGAGAGCGACCTGAGGCAACTTTTGCTCACTGGGATGAACTCTGCTGATCTGCGTGAAAGCAATACTACGGTTTATGACTCGCCTAACGAAAAAGACGAGAATCCGCCCAATTCCTCTTGTTCAACAAGAAGCTTCAAGCCGTGAACAGCGAAGGCTCCAAGTGGCGGTCATCACCTGAGTGGTTGCAAGCACCCCTTGTGTTGCAGCAGCAAGCACTCCTTGAAGTTTCGAGAAGATAAAGTCACCGCAGATCATGCGGGGCTTGGTCGACCTCTTCACGGGTCCCAATCGTAGCCCATGGGGAGTTGCCATCCACAAGCCCATCAATTTGGGAGGACACATACAAGGCCAACATAGACCACTCGACGAGGCAGAATTCAAATTGAGAATTCAAATTGCCAACAAGGAGTCAGGATCGCGAGGGTTGCATTCGGTTTATACATACTATGAGTGCCGTAATGATGCAGAGGCAAGAGTGGGGACGTCAGCCTTTCTCAGGCTCCACTTTCTCTTGATCCTGTTGTGTTGTCTCCAGTTTTTGTCGAAACGACAGTTTGAGAGCTGCAGATGGCCAAGGCCCATCACCAGAGCGTGAGCGCAGGTCGAGGCTGGCAAAGCCATGTACGTCCTGCTTTGCTTCAGGTACTCCGGTACGTACTCTACTTTGTGTAGATATGTCTTTATTTTGTGGATTCACGCAGCAGCGCAACAGAAGCCAGGCGAGGGGAGGAGCGCGGGGAGCGTGGGGAACGCGGGGAGCGTGCCGAGCGCCCGGAGCGCGCTGAGAAGAAGGCACCCCCGTGTTCTGGTTTGCTTTTGAACTGACATTTGCCCATTCCAAATTGTCGATGTCTCCGTTGGCATGGGTATTTCAGGAGAAGAAAGAGCGAAGCGTCCGGGACTTTGCTGTGCGCTGTGTCTCACATATCACAGCTTCTGAAGTTCAAGCGCAGCCATGCAGTATCATGAATGGGCACGACCTGTCATACCCGCTTGTCCTGGTGCCAGCTGCAAGAGGTTGAAACACAGCAGCATGTGGTGGACGTTTTTGCTGTCATCTTGCCATTGGCTCGCAAAAGGCGTTCTGGGTGTCGCCTCTAGTGCCATTCCCTGGTTCCGCGAGCTAGTCACCTAGTCTCCATCTTTGCAGGCTGGCAGTCATTCCTCTTGACAGTGACAGACAGTGTCCTCCATGGAGTGGAAGAGGGTAAATGAAGATTGATCTGTACTCAGCCAGAGATGTCCTGACAGCACAAACGCATTGAGTACTATCATCATTCGAGTGGAAGGGGCTAAATGGCAAGCCGTGCCTCGCATCAGGTACCGCATGGCTTGCCACCAGCATTAGTCGCACATCGCTTTTTACTGTGTCCAGCCGAAGAATGCCCTTGTTCAGACGCCGCCAATCTTGTGAAATGCAGAAGGGCAAAAGGGTTGACTGCAACCGATCGGTTGCAAACAAGTTTGAGCTGCGCCTGAAATATGCAGACTTAGGCTGCGTCTCCTGTTAACGTTCGCAGTGACCTTTTTTGGGATGTGCGGTCGTTGCAGGGCCATGGCAATGCTTCTGTCGAGGGCCCTGCGCTCAGGGCACCTGACCTCCTACTCGGCGCAACTCGGATCTGATTGAGCGCAGGTTTGCACGACTCGGCAGAGCTTCTGCCAGTGTATGTTTGCATTGATAGGTTGACCTGATCAAAGGGTGGGAAACTTCTCGCACTTCTCCCTCCGTCAGCGTTACACGCAGATGCTGAAGGCACAGACTGTGTTGTCCTCAGTCAGCGACCGGAGCATGTCATGAGCATTGCACCCTCAAGTGTATGCACCTGTTACCACGGCGTGCTGCCACAGCGCTGCAAGAACCCAGGATCCGACACTTGCGGACTTCTTCTTTGAGAGCTACCTCCGTGCGTTCTTCGCAGATCCGCCTTCCTACAACTACTGGTCGGAGTGCCTGGTTTCATGTGTGATTCATGCATCACTTGCTGCTCAGTCCAGGTTCATCAGCATTGCGGCCTTCGGTGCCTGCATCGGCATCTTGTCCCGCCAGTGCGGGGTCTCAGCGTTTCAGGTAGTTGCTTTATGGGGGGGCGTCTAGAGCAGCCCTGGCATTTGGCAATCGTGACTTGCAGGATCTTCTTCAATCCAGATGCCAAGTGCCCAGATGTATGCAGACCTATGTGATTTTACATGCATTGCATGTGCAGGCTCAACCTTAGAAGTGCTGGCATTCTGGATCCTGAGTTCTCCTGCCAGGTCATGTTCCGCTATCAGGAGAAGCGAAAGCCCCTGCCCGACCGTCACAGGAGCCGCTAGCTGTTTTTTGGATGGCAGTTACCCATTCATACAGCCAGGATGGGGTCTGCTCGTCTTCTGTTCGAACCTGGTGCAGGCAGTGGACCTACTCCCTTCCCTTCTTCAATCACCGTCTGCGCGGCTTGGCAACCAAACAGATTAGGTATTTCCTCTTGCTGCCTCATGCTTGTATAGTTGTTATCGTAGTGTAGTAAGTAGAAGGTTTGTGCCTGACCTTTTTGCCGACCAGGCAACATGTGCTGCAAGTACAAGCTGGGAGCCTAGCAGAGCCTTGCGGAGTGAAAGGAGCCAAGTGCTAGTGTGAATTCGAATGAAACCGTGAAGCCTTTTGCACAGGGCCTGCCTCATTGACAATGAGCCGGATTGGGCTGACTACCACCCGCTCGGGTACCGCCCGAACCGGAAGCAAAGCAACAGGACCAGCGTAGCTTCCGGAGCATTTTCGAAGAACAAGCGCGTCGTGATGTGTCATGCATGAAGCAGAGCCATTGCACGCTGCACACTCGGAGTTCCCGGAAGTAGAATGTTGCTACTTGTGCAGGAAGCTGCATAAGAAAATTGGTTTGCTTGCGAGCGCTCGCACTTTGAGAGTGATGCTGCGGAGTTGGTCCTGAAGTGCCAGTCTTTAATCGTGCAGGCGCCCGTACATGTGGATCCTCACGATCCCTCGCTACACCATGGAGGATGCTGGGTGACAAGAGTCGATCAAATTTCTTTTCATGATGTGCAAGCATCAATGGAGCACTGGCTATCGGAGTTATCAGATCGCGCAATTAATTCGCTTGCAGCGTACAACGTCTTCTGCGTCATTGTAATCAGGCCAGGATGTGTGTTTCATATGCAGATCATGTGCTTTTGCGTGGTTTGCAAAGAAACTCGCGTCAGGATCCTTTGTACACTTCCGTGACCCATGAGAACATGAATCGCATCTACGAGGACGGCTGCCTTTTGTTTCAGCTTGCCGCTTGCTATTGCCTTTTGGCATGCTTGGTTACGCAGGAGGTGGGCTACACCAAGCCGGCTAAAACAGAGGAGGAGTAAAGGATGCATTGAGTCTGACAAGGCTTCTGGGACTTATCCGGGGCAAGGAAGACAAGCAGCTCAACTTGGAAACAGGTATCTGGGAATGATTTCTTAATTGCTCAGGCTCCTCGCTTTGACGCCACGCTGCTGTTCTGAGATTGCCTGCTTCAGAAGACGAACATGTGCTAAGCTGCTGACTATGCTAGAGAGAGCGTCTGCAAGCCTTGTTGACACTTTGTTTAGGTGTATCTCCGCAAGCCTTTAGCTGTTTTACCTCGCCACTGCCCAAAGTCAAACGTGTGTGGTGCCATATGCTCTCAACTTTGCATTGAAGATGCTGCATTTCTTTTCGCTTGGGCATGGTCTTCCCACAAATCCTTTGGCTGATGTTTTTGTAATCCGTGATATCCTGGTGTTCTGAGAACATGCTGCAGCAAAAAGGTGCTTTGGAACTCTGTTTGTGCCTGCTACGCAAGCCTTGCAGCCTGCTCCAAAGAAGTCTCAGCTCCAGGCCCGTGAGCGTGAGGCGAGGGAGGCACGTGAGCCGCGGCCGCCTGGCACGGAGCCAGAGGACTCGACACCGCATGGAAGCATGGACGTGTGATGACATGTGCTTTTGGCAGCAGTCCAGCCAATCAGACAGTTTCAACTGTAACCTGTGCCATTCTTGCTCTGGAACAAGCTTGACTGGTATCGTTTGGCAGTTTTCCTTGGGACAGGAGGGAGTGGGAGCCCTTTGAAAACTGATAAGCTTGGCACCATGCTGATGGGACCCGCGGCGATGCGTTTGGGGTCGCTGCAGTCCATTCATCTCGATTCAAGGGTGGCGAGGTTGGTGTTCCGCTGTTCCACTCTGAGTGTGTTGGGTCGGACCTAACCAAACAGGAAGCCTCGTTTGTACAACTAGAGTTGCTGGTTTTTCGATGAATCCGGAGTGTTGGTGGATGTGGGTGGTATGCGTTGTTCTTTAGCGTGTGCAGGAAGCAGAGCGCGTGCCACCTGCACCACGGGCACCAGCGCCACCTCCGGAGAGGCCACGCTTCCACGCTTCGCTACGCGAAAGCGTGGTTTAATCTTTCTGTTGCCTTGGTGGCCCTGAGCTGCTGAGCTGTGTAATTGGTGGCTCATGTCCATGCGGTGCCAGGGGAGAGAAGAAGCCAAGGCGACCTCACAAGGAGGCGTTTGCCCCTTTTTCCCGCTTCATTTTTTACGAATTCATCTTTTTGCTGCCTGTGCAGGTGCCCGAAGCTGAGGCTAGCCAGCCACAGGCACAGCTGTTTTATCTAACACTCCGGCACCCAACCAACGGCTCCCTGTGCTGCCTGCGCCAGGCGCCACCGCCTGCTCGGCCAACCAATGGCCGAAAGGCCTTTTGGGCTCCGTCCAGTCAACTTCAGCCTTCCTGGAAGCTTACTGCCCATGGTCAAGAGCCAGTCACGCAAATTGAAGCATTGGGACCCCGCCAGGTAGCATCATGATTCATAATGCATGCCTTTACACAGCTGCTGCCAGGTCGAAGCACCTCACGTAGAGGAGGACGGCAACAAGGTTTGAGCGTAGCTGTCGGCGGATTCCAGCATGCATTAACCAGGAGATCGAGGTTCATGCTCCAGTGCCACCTGCGCCAAAGCCCGCGGAGGCTCGCATGGCAGTTTTACATTTTTTCCGGAGAGGTCATGCAAACAGACTGTTTTGATGTGTTGATGGTTGCAACGTTGGCAGAAGGGTCTGACCGGAAGCAATGCGACCGGCTTAGCTTGGCTCAAAGTGCTGGCCCAGCTCGCCATGCAAAAGGCATCGGCGGCTTCTGTAGTGTAGAAGGTGCAATTTCTGCTTGCGTGCTTGATTTTCTGCCTGTGCTTTCCTTCGTCAAATCGATTCTTAAGACCCTTGGCGTTATACTTGTTTGCCTTCTGATGCTGTGTGTTGAAGTCAGTGGTACTGGCTGCATACATGCAAATTGCTAACCATGTGATGTTCTCTTCCAGCAAGGATGTCGTTCCGCGAACTGCGGAACTTCTGCGAGATCATGAGATCTCTAGGTTACCATCGGCTCGTGTCCATGGTCACTTGTCACGCTTTGATGGGGCTCCTTTTCGCAGCTCACATGGTTTAGGTTGTGCCTTTTGAGAGGCCGTGCTAGGACCACAGCACGTAACGTGAATGTTTGCTGAGGACAACTTCCGCCGCTCGGCTACCACTCTACGTTGTTAGGATGATCTCGTCCGGGTCAGCATTATTATCCGTTGTGACACCAAGAGGAACCCCCAACTTTGAGCTTGTGGCTGACATTCTGGATTGGCTACTGCACCGTTTCGAACCTGGATGTGCCATCCCGGACGACATCAGTGCTCCTGCTTGATGGCCATTCTGCTTGCACATGCCCGTGCAAGAGGCTGATACAGCCAGTGTGTGAAGCTTTGACACAGCTAAGGCACGGAAGCAGATCGGGTCTTGTTCATCAAGTCTGTGGTTGAGCATCTTGGCCTGTTTAGCGGAAGTTCATTTTGATCAGATTTGCGCACCAGCGTAGATTACTTGATGTGCATAGCAATTTGGACATGAAGCCCGCTCGGCATCTTGCGCTGGAGAGCGTTTGCAACGGGCACCGACTAAGGAAGGTTGTGCTGAAAACCGGCCTCAAACTCAATCCAAAGAAGCTGTACGGTGCTGATGGCTATGCAGTCAAGGCCTGCGTCGTTGAAGTTGTTCCTTGCCTGGCGTCGTTCGGAACAACAGGGAAGCTCCAGTAGCCAGGGAGAAAGCGTTGCATTTCTCTCATGTCCTCTGTTGGGGCTGTCGTCGAGGTGCACGCCTGTAGAACCAACTGTCGAAAAAGACTTCCGTGTTCTGGCTTGCAGGAACTTCTGCGCCTAGCACAAGTATTGTACGAGGCAGGAGCTGTGATGGAGTACCTCTGCATGCGACAAAATGGTCGGAGTGCTTTGACAGTCGCAAACTGGGGCTCAAGCTTCTTGGGGCTGACATCTGTCACATTTCAGGACAGGGCCAACTGGTGACATTCAGGAGCCATCAGCATGACTCGCGCGTAGATATTCCTAGGCGATTGACGTGAGTGAGAGATTGAGTTGAAAACGCTGAGCTTTCTGGAGTCCTGTCTTTGCAAGGCGCAACGCTCTGTCTCCGAAGTGCCTCCAGAAGGCCGAGGCGAAGATTTCACGCTGAATTCAAAGCCGCTCTGTCCAAGAATACCCGAGTTATGTGTCGGCATGAGTGGACTTCCAAGTCTGATTCCCAGGTTAGCCGACCTCAAAAGTGACTTGACTTTGAACGAGAAAGTGGCACATCATGCCAAGTCTCCTGATGTTGAGCAGCTACTTCGAAAGCGAGGTACGCGCTCCCTGTGTTCTCAGATTGTCGAGAGCGGAGCGACTCTCTTTGAGCTGCTGCAGAAGGACCTAGCTCGTCAGTGTTCCGGAGCACGTCCGTCGCAGTTTTCTTTGGACTTTGATCCAAATGCAGGAGCAAGAGGTGCGACAAGACCGCGAGAAAGCTTTGAGTTTTTTAGAGGGTATGTCACGCAATTTAGGCTACTTGGCTAATTATTGAAACAAGACCGTAGTATGTCAAGTTCTATTTTTGGACGCCCAGCATGCGTTCTTTCGCTTCTTGCATCGCGACAAGATCTACAGTTACAGTGACCAGATACTAGTTCCTGTTTCAGTATTTGGCTCCTTTCTGCAGCCAAAGGTAGCAACACCGAAAACGAGATGGTGGAGCGTGCAGCACTCTGGCTGCACGAGAGCTGCGTCTTGCTGCACACAGGGGCAGGTTCACGTCTGCGCCAGCAGGTGTCGCAGTTGCTTGGCAGCCACGGCCAGAACCTCGAGCAGCTGAAGCAGATGTCTGATGAGCTTCAGCGAGACGAGAAGAGTTGGCAGCCTCAGCATGTTGCATGCTGCTGCGGTTGAGCAATTTGAATTGCGTGCACTTTGTCTGGCTAGATGTGCGCCGTGCCCTCTCTAGATTCAGGTTTAGAGCAGAAAATCAAAAAGAAAAAGCAGGACCAAGCTTTGTAGAACGAGCTTCGCCTAAAGTGGATCTCATTTTCTGTCGGAGGAGTTGGAGCGCTGCCGAAAGCGGTTAGGCTCGTTGGCTTCTGTACGACCAGCTTTCATGGACGAGCACCTTGAAACAGCAACGAGATTCGCAGCTTTCCGTGTGCAGATTCTGGCCTGATGCTGTACAACCAGGTATGAGACGCTGGAGCAGGAGCTTGAGCGCTATTACGAGCAGTGCCGTGGTGGCATCGCATGTTTGCATTCTGTTTCGTCTTCCATGCACTGGATGTGCAAGAAAGGTATGTGGGACGTTTTCGGAACCTGGACTATCTGGAGCATGCTGCTCGGACTGATGTAGTTGCATCACCGTGTGTTTGGGATTGATATTCAGTTGTGATATTGTTTACTGTCAGGAAATCGACATGCTGAACAAGGAGGCGCTACACTCCAACCGACTCTCCTGTGCCCACATCCTTTCTGTTTTTCTTGACAGCTATGTTGTTCAGCCGCATCCTTGTACAAGAGCATGAGGCTCTGTGCTGAGTTTGGACTTGAAGTGCCCGGACCAGGAGCAGGAACGTATGGAAGAGAATGATCGGGCTCTTAAGCGTATCTTGGCCGAAAGGATTGCGGGCAATGCCTTGCTCTCACGTCTCAGTGATTTCAAGGAATGCAAAAGCGCCTTCGCGATGAGGAGTGGAGATTACTCCGCGGTGAGGAGGACAAGTATTTTGAAGGGTTTTAAGCTACTGCCATTATGGCGCATTTCCGTGGTGGTACGTAGAATGATGTCGCATGTGTGGAGGATGACAAGGGCAAGGCCAGAAAGCCGAAAAAGATTCACGGCCAAAAGAGGTGTGGCGGTGGGGCGGCATTTTCTCTTTTTTTAGGTAACTTGTCATCCGTTAATCAGGTGGATGCCGCCTTCAGCCGTGGACGCTGTAGATGGATCCATGGAAGCTGGCGATGACGAGGCTTCCTGATGCCTCTTGGACAAGAACACTGAGTTGTATTGAGCGTAATCAGCCAAGGAGTCGTCCGAAGGCTCAAACAGCGACAGTGATCCACCTATCAGCGTGGGCGGCGACTTGGTTTGCACCAAGCTAATGCAGGGTGGAGTCTGGAGATCTTCAAATCTTTTGCAGGCTCAGAAGACTCTGGTGGCCTGGGTGGACCGCGTGGTGGCGGCGTTCTGGGCCCAGAGCACGAGCGCTACCTGGCTGATGTGGGATCTTGGAGTTTCATGCTCGTATGTATGAAGCAGCTTGCTCTGCAGACAGTTGGCGTGTTTGAAGGTGCCGTCTCGCCTCCAGATGGCTCTGTGCTCATTGGCGGCGGAAACAGTGTGTCGACCGAGCTGCAATGCAAGACGTGATCTGTTTGCGTGAAGTGATCAGGGTCTCTTGCTGCTGGTCAGCTACAGTAAGATTCAACAGGGCACAGCGATGTAAATGCGTTTTCCAGTTTCCCACTCAAGGCTGCGGCCGCCTACACAGATAGGCCATGGCACGTAGCTGGCTGCAAGGTCCGATGATGATATTCTCAATGAATCTGACGAGGAGGAGCTGTCAGATGAAGTTTCTTGGCCAAAGCTAGCTAGAGGCAGAGTTTCATACATCAGAATCAGACTTGCATGACCTTCAGGTACGCATGCAGCTGTTAGGTTCACATGCATCTAACCAAGGACATAGGAGGGTCAGGAAGGCATCCTCAACCCGGAAGCGACTTCGACTTCTGAGAGCACTGTTGACATCCGTGCAGGGGATGTTGTGAAGTGTCCCATCTGCACAGCCCACACAAGTTCAACGTAGCGTAGGGGTTCCTTGCTGCAACTTGTAGCACCACCTGCCCAGTACTGTCGACCTGTAGCCGAGCCTGGATTTGGGATTCCAACAGGGTGCCACCTTTGGAATGAAACCTGAAGGTCTACTGCAAGATATCTGTGTGGAGACCTCATCCAGACAAGTCGTTGTTTCACCCGGCAATTCGTATTTGCAGCTCTCCTCCTCTCACCGGCTAAGGCTATACTTACTGTCTCTCAGTGCGCAAGAACTTCTTCTGTTTCTTTCGTCATCCTCAAAGTGTTTAGGTTTGTTGCATCAACGAGGTTCGCTTCACGGACTGGAATCCGGAGATGAGTCTGGGGTCCATGGCCATTTCTTTACTTCATGGGGGAAAGTCATGCATGTTTTCCACCATTCCCAAGTTGCTTGTTTTGGTTCCGCATGTGACCCCAATGCATGCCTGACCGTCACTGACCTTGCATGGTCATTGCACAGTCGAAAGTTGCACTGCGGGGGGTGGACAGCGAGAGGCAGCTTCGAGTGCGTGCTTGCTGCAGCAGAAGACTATGAAAGCTGCCAGGAAGAAGTGGACGACATTGAGTATGACGAAGATTTCGAAGAAGCGGATGATGAGGAGATGCTGCAACAATCGTAAACTTGGTTGGTCACATGAGGTGAGTCCTGTCAGTGGTATATGGAGCTAAGGAGGCTTTCAAGCGGGTGTTTTGACCCTGCATGCCTAAGTTTGTTGATGAAGGCTGTTCTCGGGACAGTCCATGCCTTGGACATTCAGGATGAGTACATCCCACAAATCAAGTCCTCATCGCCATCGCCGCCGAGCCAGTCGCCAGACGGGCCACTCGCCTCCTCTGGAATGTACCTGTTGGATGCAAGGCATGCCGTATGCAGCACTCATGTTGTGCGAGTTGTTTATCAATTGCAAGCAACGTAGTATCTGTGATTTGATGCCACGTGCTGAGGACTCCAAATAAGGCGCCTTGGCCTAGAGTGCTGCGCGTGACTGTTGCGATTGTCAGCACTGATCATATCCAGTAAAGATTTGCAACCCTAATGTGCTGGCCAGGTCACGTTTCGACCCATGTCCTCGCAGTCGCTTCGAGCACCGACGCCCCCGCTTGGGAAGGCGTGCAGAACAGACAGGAATCTTGAGAACTTGCAGCATGTCATGTCATGCTTCGCAGGAGTCGCCCGTCTCTGCGTCTGCCATCAAGAAGGCGTGGACATTTATTACAGTCTTACTGATCGACCAGTGTGCATGGGCATTGTGTAGCCCAGGCAACGCAGAGCGAAAATGAGAGGATTGCAAGGACTGATATGCCCTTGAAATGTGTGAGATACAGTTGCATTGGATGAATCCGTGCCGTGTGACAGGAAGTCGCCTTTGCCAACTTCACCCGATATGAATAGGCCTGGTGTCTTGCCAAGCAAGCTGGGTGTGTTTGCAAGAAGCAGCCTTTTGAAGGACGAAGAGGGGAGGGGGGCTCATGGCTGAGTACGAGTCGACCATGCCAAAGTTCAACTTGGCTGGCAGTGCCCACCCAGTCGTCTCAAACGTTCAGTAACATGATGTTTAAGTGGCAAGCTTTTCAGCACGCTTTTCAACCAAGGTGCTTCACCAGCTCAGCGCGCAGCGCTTTCAAGGCTCATATCCCCAGCTGTGCGATGGAGCATAAGTACAAAAAGTACAAGCTGACCTGCAAAGGCTAAGGGACCTGCGAGAGCTGCAGATTACCAGCAAGACCCGGCCTCAGCGAGAGCGTTGCCCGGATCACAAATTTCTGCATCTTGAGAACTCGCACATGAACGAGCTCATGCGGGTACCGAAAACTGACACTCCGGCTGTGCCTGGGGTCCGGGCTGACCAGAAGACAATCTGGGGGCTAAATCAGACATGGTACAATGGCGTTTCCGAGTCACCACTTTTCGTCAGCTGACTTCAACGCAGGCTGGGCATGGAGACTGGAACCCTCTTCCAGCAAAAGCCACAGCAGGCAAGCTGTGAGCGTGAGGAAGGTCTGTGTCGGCTTCCAGTTTTACACAAAGCACTCGGCTAAAGAATATTTGCAGATACTTGACACAGTTTGGAGCTTGTGAGGGCAAGCCAAACCATGTAGATGCACGTGTTGCGCGCGCCTTGTTGAAGGACATCCAGCTATTTCTCGCGGGGAAGTCTTTGAAGTACTGTGTCTTGGCCAACAAGGTCAGGTAGAATCCGAGTCTATCCTGTTTGCAGTCTCCATGCAGGATTTCTTTGGCTCATGTTACTGAGGCAAGCTCAAGACGACCAGCTGTCAAACGGGTTGGATGCTTGGAGGTCATATTGCAGCCCAGTTGACCGCCTACCTTGTGACTCTGATTTCGGGTCAGTCAGCTTGCATGTGTACCACGTGCGAATCCGTTTACTGCCGGGAGTGTTGGTTGTTTCTGAAGACTTGGCTGTCCGCTATGCTGTCCTTCTAGCTGGACTTTAGTACAGCTTTCGCAATTTATGACCCTTGCGATTCCTGTTTCACAGCTACAGCAAGTTGAAACTCTCAGCAGGGAAATGAAGGGCAACCAGGTCCGTGCGGCCAAGGAACGGTATTGTCAACAGAGAAGTATACTTCCTGTGACTCCCTGGATTGGCACAGAAGCTCACGTCATGCCCTCTTTTTCTGAGGTGATGATGACGTCGAAGTAGGCGTCAACACAGAAGACGTTTGGATGGATGACAAGGCCAAACCCAGAGTTGCTTGACTATCGAGTGCGATTCTCAAGGGACTGTTTGGGGTAGGGTCAAAATATTTGAAGCATGCCAGAACAGGGCCGGCGATGCCTGTGAAGCAAGAAACAGGGCACACTTTGCCGGTCATTGCAGGAGATGCAGTTCCCAACGTTGACGAGTGGCCAAACGGCCAAGTGCGAGACCTTCAAGACAGACGTTGGCTGTAACTGCCTGGAGATGACCGTGCAGTTAGGAAGTGTCAGAGTGGGATGTACTGTCTAGAGTTGGAGATGCAGCGCCCGCGGCCACATAGAGAGCTGCCAGTTTTTGTTTGTCCGGCGGTGCTGCTGAGGTCAACAGGGGCTGAAGCGCAGCTTCTTCCATTCCTCAGGCATGCAGAAGCACTTCCTTAACTTGACTGGGTTATCACAAAAGCGGACACATGCATGTGCGGCATGTGAAGAGGCGGTTGCATTTTTTAGAGAAGCCTGCTGCTTCACACCTTACCTGGGAAGAGCTGTTGGAGCAATGATGCCGAGCGCTGTCCATATTGAGTGTTCGGTGTCTGTTTTGCAGCCGTGTCTTGTGATGCAGGCGTGTGCTGCCGCTCTTCGAGGCATCGATTCTTGAGAGCAATCGTGGATCCCCCAATTGTCAGCTCACCTAACGCAAAGTGCGCGTGTCTGCGAACGGCCCAGGCCGTGCTGGAGTGGTGGCACCTCCGCCTCCGGATGAGCAGTTCGGACAAACTCTGGCCTGGGAACCTGGTGGGTCTGCTGGTAGAACGTCACTTTGACCCGACAAGTCTTGGGGCCCATGCAGATTGCAGGTAGGAGTTCACCGGATGCTTAGGTGCGGTGCACGCTCCCAGAGAGCTTTGTCTCCACCTTCATAGGCAAGCGTCCAAGCCACCTCACCAGTCCAGAAAAACACCGGGCTTGGCAATTCTGCTCTGTTCCATTGCAGGCGCTTGGCCCGCTGTGGTGGACCTGTCCATCGTGGAGAAGTGGTCCCTGGTCTCAAAGTGTGCCACCAAAAGTTTTGCTAGGTCTAGGCTTGACTCGCAGGTATGGGGCTGACCACACACTGGCCCTGTATGGCTGGGAAGAGGCACCTGCGGCGATTTGGCCCATCAGCTTCTCGCACTGCTGAGCGGTGCATCTCTCATCGAGGTTGTCCGACCGCCGCCCAGCGAAATCGTTGGACTGGCCAACTTCATGCGGCCTATCCGCAGCCTTGTTGGGGACCCAAGATGTGAGTAGCAAAGACCCATGTTGCAACTTTGGAGTGCAGACCTTGGTTGACTTGGCTCAGGTTGGTTTGCACCCGATAGTGTTGGGCGGCTCAGGAGGTTGGTAGAAGAGACTGTGTGAAAACGTGAACAAATTCCTAGCAGGAGCTTCTACCCGCCCAGCGCGCTGTTTGTACTCGTTCTGTTCCGGGCTCGGCATCAAGGGGAGACACCGATTCACTTAGTTTGCTGGTTACTGCTTCAAATCGATTGCTGACAACGAGGTCGCTTGAGTTCGCTGGCTGTTGTGAACGGAAGGCTTTTCCTTGTTCTGGATGTTTGCTACTAGAATGGGTTTCAAGGACGGATCAGGGATGTGCTTCCAGGACGCACCTCATTGTTGCGGGCTCTGAAACCGGGTCTCTCGTGGTACCAGCCTAAGATATTACGTTGCCACGTGGCAGTGTTGACACTGCCACAATCGTCCCCCCAGCAGCTCTAGATCCTCAGGTCTACGACCTCCGTGCCAAAGCTCGGACGCCTGCCGACCTGCTGGGCGAAAGCGAAGGCAAAGGGAATGCTTGCTGTTGCATGGCCTTCCGCAGAGCCATGATTTGCGGAGGCCCACCTCCGAACCCTGATGCTGACATTGCCCACTTTGAGGCAGGATACCCTGCATATCCGTACATCATATTAGACAAAAACGCAGCTTTGAATTGTGCTCAGCAACGCGCAGACACGGTCCAGGGTCCAGTGTGGCTGCCATCCGCCTTCTCAACAGACGTTTACGCCAAGCCGGCAGAGTTGACATTCCTGAGCCTGCATGGCACTGCATGGCACTGCCTGGCACTGCATTGGGGTGCAGGGAGAACTTGGCCATGCCAGGCTCTGGGGCCAACACAGACAGAGCCTGGAGCCAAAGAACATCATGCGTTGTTATGCCAGTTGGGACTTGCGCGCTCTTGTTGTCTTTTTGCGTCTTGAGGGCAGCTGACATGCCGCAGAACGGCTTCATGCCTGCTACTCAAACCTGGAGCCGCTGTCTTCAGCCAGCAGCAGTTAACAATAGCTCTGGACATCAGAGAGCTGAGAACGAGCTTGCTGTAAGACGCACTATGCTAGTGGGGCGGTCCGTACAGACACCGCGAACTGTCCAACTGAAGCTCCATTTGCTCAGTGGTGTTGCAAGCTGGCATTAGGTGTTGGATGTAGACTTGTAAATCAGCTGCAGAAGCACCCTCGGCCTTGCAAGTGATGAAAGTATGACTGCCCAGGTCTGACACGTTCGGCTTTGATGGAGTTGTGAGCTTAGCATGTCGGCAGTGAGAACAATCTTCAGCACATTTGAACTCTGTGACTTTGATCAAGGACTCGTCGGGAGTTCACGAGGCGGAGGCCGTTTGTCTGTCCAAGAACTTGCGCTGTGAACTGACAGAAAATTCACCCATCGTTCATGAAACATGTTTGCTTGTCGCTTGCAAGCGTACTTACACTTTTTTCGCTTGATGCAGGTCTGCTGCGTTCGCAGCTCTGACATGGCTGCTGGAGATGCGCTGGTCTTCGCCCGGTCGCCTGGACGTTCTGGACGCAAGTAAGGTGACACAGAACTCAAGTGCTTGCAGTACGGTGTCTCGCATGCAATATCTCTTCGTGTTGTGAGCTGCAGCTGTTTAGATTCGTATATGGTCTCTCGCAAATGCATTTGTCCACTTCTTCTGAAGTGGGTGACGTGCCATCTTTTGGACGACGAGCGGTGATGGGCTGGGAAACAATGGTGTGAAGGCCTGGCATGTCCAGCCATGGCGTGGCCGATGGTCAGCATGTTAATGTGCAGAATGGTTTTGAGATGCCATGCAAGGTGCGGGAGCCTTTTTCTGCTCTTTGGTCCGGAGCCCTCGACGTCCTCCATCTGCGAGATGTGAACCTTGCTCTTCGAGTGCCATGCCTCTGTGATTACTTTTGACTGTTTTCTGTGCGCGTGGTCTGCTAACGGGAAGCAGGCAGGGGCAATCGAGGCATGTAAAGCGCGGTCTGCCTGGGAAGAGGCTTCGTTGCCCCTTGGTAGCGACGATAGTCTGTGACTAGCGAAGTTCGAGAAGCGACCAGTCTTCTGTCCAGGCTGTTGACAGGATTCATTCGAAGCGACATTCAAGCAGATGTGATCTCGTGCCCTGGGCCTAACCAGTTGTGGGGGAAATTGGTATTGGTGAAATTCGCCTATGTGCCATGCTCTGCGCCAACTTGTGCTCCTATGTGGTGTTTGTGGAACTATACAAACGTATTATTTGCGTGATACCGCTGCCTCAGGAGATGTGCAAAAACGCTGGCAAGAGACGGATAGTAGGAAAGCAGGTGCTATATTACGTTGTCATGTCTCTCTGCGAAGAAGGGTGTTGGGTTTGATAGTATGCGAACTCCGAAGCTACAGGAGAAGAGCCACACTGTACTTACAAAGGGGAAGCGGAAGGTACGTCCTAGACAGGTGAAGTATGTGCGCATGTAGCATTCGGACAGACGGGCCTCTTCTTCACTTTCCCGCAAAGGTACGGCGTAATGAGACAGTGCACGCACTGCGGAAAGCTTCTTCTCTACAGTTCTGCACCCTTCTTAAGCGGAATTCTCAAAGATGTCTGGTGGTAGAAGTACATCGGCAGTACGCAACCTGTTTTTTACAGGCCTGGCTGGTGGAGGGAGTGTGATGCAGGAATGAAACATCACGATGCTTTTTGTTCTGGAGCAAAGACCCGAAAACTTAGTGAAAGAGAGTCTAAGGGAAGAGCTGAAATCGTGTTGGCTAGTGCATGTTCAAGCTGTAGTGCTATGAACTTGTGGCCTGCCACGGTATCTGTGCATATCCCAACTCTTCGGTGTTAAGCGCATGCACCCGGTCATCGTGGGGGTCATGCCAAAAGTACAGCAGATTACATGAGCAGCGAGGGAAAAGGGGAGTTGGATTTTCTTCATAAAGCTGACTTCCTTCAACACATTTGCATGCAATGCTGCTTCTTGCATTCCACATGGGCCACTGTTTGGGTTTGCCAAAGCAAAATCATACTAAGCAAAGAACTTCTGGCTTTGAGTGAAAGCTATCTGATGAGAACAGACAACGAAATAGATATTATACTAATTCAAGCACAACAGACAGAACGCTTTCAAATTCAATTCTGGATGTCAAGGCAAGGTTTTGCCGGCAGTGTGATGTAAAGTGAGGCAGCTGCCAAGGTACACAACAGTGCTCGGAGCCGGTGTGGTGAGTTCTTGGGAGTGGGCCTCGGACGTCTTTGCAGACATGTGACTTGGCAAAGAGGATGAGGAAACTGACATGGCCTCTACATGATTACTGGGCTCTGCCCAGGGCCAGTCGCAAGCTGCTCTTGGACAAGGCTGACGGTGTTATACAGCGCCGGCACATGCACGTCTGCTGCATTATGCTGAGCATGTGCTGTCCAGATTGGCCAGGTGGCCGCGCTGATGCGCTTAAGTGGCTTCTCGGCTGCGTCATCATGGGCTGCTGCTCTGATAATGCTTTCGAGTCTGAAGGCTGAACGGTTCAAGGAGTTCAGAAGCGCAGCATGGCATTGGTTGAAGGCTTCATTTGCAGCAGGCCCAACAATTGGAAACAGAGCGGCGAATGGCCAGTTCTGCGCTGACATCATGTGCCAGGAGTGACATGTGGGGCCCATCTCTTGCATTGAGCTGAGTTGACCTGATCAACTGGTGGGATTCTCAACTTCATGGCTGTACCTGAAAAGAAGTGTGCAAGGTATTGATCCAAAGCCTGCGGATGACATCGGTGAAGATTGACGTTGTTGCTTGGCAGCCTCCCCACAAAAAAAGAAACACACATCAAATAAACTTTGCTCATTGCATGAGGGTTTCCAGAAACAGATCCTTTGCGAAGCCAACCCTTGCTATGGGGTGCTGGCTGGAGATTGGAGATGGCCCCGAGGCTGTTGCAAATGCTGCTGCCAACGCTGTGGGCCGTGCCGGGCTCTGGACGTTGGCCCTGGACATGATGCAGGAGATGGCATTCCTTGCCAGGCTGATTTGGAATAACAGCTCTGCTTGGTGCATCTAGGTGGTTGAGCTTTTGCAGCACACAGCCTTCTACATTCTGTAGGTTCGAACAAGTCTGGACCCTTAGCTGGATTTCAGTGATAGTGGCACCTGCTGCAACAGGACACCATCGCAAATGACCAGATGGACCTTGTCTCCGTCAACACTGCTTTGAGTGCCTGGACTGAAGCTTAGGGTGCCCTTGAAGGCGAGTGAGGTGCATGACGGTCTATCAGGTGCTTGTGAGAAAGCCGCGCAGTGGCAGCCCGCCTTGTTCATTCTGAAAGAATCCATGTCCTTGATGCCAGATATCATCTCTTATAGCACAGCGGTCAGCGCATGTGAGAAGGATGGTCGTTGGGAAGAGGCTTTGTACCTTTTGTCTCGGCTACCTCAAGCAAGAGTGGATGGAGATCTAGCCATTTACAATGCAGTGATCAGTGCCACTGAGAAAGGCAGCCATTGGTGGATGGCATTGCAGTTGCTGACTGAGATCTTGGCGCTGCGGTTGGGACCTGATGTGGTCAGTTACAGCAGTGCGGTCAGCGCCTGCCAGAAGTGTGACGAGTGGCAGGCCGCGCTGCTGCTATTCTACACAATGCAATCTGAACGTTTGGAGTTGGATGTCATCACCTGCAATAGCGTCATCTCCGCATGCCAGCGAGCAAGCTGGATCAAAGCCATTTGCCTCCTTAACGCCATGCAACTTTCTGCTATGGAGGCCACCATTGTAACCGGCGGAGCTGTCATCAGTTGCTGTGAGAAGTCCACGCAGTGGCGGCTGGCCCTGCAAGTCCTTTGCAACTGCAAGACGCATAACATGCACCTTCAAGATGTCACCTACAATGCAGCCATCGGGGCATGCGAGAAAGGCGAGAGCTGTGGATAAGCTTCGAGACAAACAAAGAGGTGTTTGCTGCCTACGAGCAAAAAGCTTTGCAAGTGTCAGAGAGCTTGTGCCTCTAATGTGTTGTTCTTGTGAATATCCTCGGCGTGGCTTCGTAGAATAAAGGCCTTGGATGTCACTGGGATGGTCAGCTTTTGGCGAGTGTTGGAGCTTGCCTCGGTAGGTTTGGGCCTCAGCTTTGAAGATCTGTGCCATCAACTTTCCTGAGCCCCGTCTCAGGCGTGAAGCTTGCGCTGCAAGGGAGTCTGGCCCTTGCGCGAGGCACGCCTGTAGACCTCTTGTAGGGGTAGGTTTGAAAATAGCTTGTATTTTCAATGACCCTGAATTCCTACGTACGCCTCATAAAGGCATAACATGTTGAATTTGTACTGGGCCCCTGAAGCAACCCTACTTTGGACGGACTCCCACTCCATGGGCGGGGGTTCAAGTGACAGGTCCACACTGCCATGTTCTGGGTGACTTCCTGAGTGCTTCATACCTCTGCATCCATCCGCAGCAACAGGCCAGCTTCAGCGCAAGAAGCAGTTTTTGCTGGGCTCGAGTAGGGTGATTCTCCAACATGGACAGGGCCAGTTCGTGGCGCTCTCCGCTGCCGGCATCCGGCAAGCAAATCGCAGCGCCCCCATGTTTTCTTAGTTCCCGGTGGTGCTCTTGTTTACCACGGCTGTCGTAGGCCAGCGCGCCCTGACCTCCAATGTTGCGGATGGGCCAAGGATGTTCAGCTCAGTAGTGAGTCGATGTGAAGCGAAGCAGCCAGCAGCATTTTTCAGCTTCTGCATGGGCCAGGGTCTTTGATTCTTTTTTCTCTAAAGGTTGGGCTGCTTGGGGTCCCTGGTTTCCTGGTGCACTGGTCCCTTGATGCTCCGCTCCTTCTGTTCCTCTGGTCCCTTGAAACATGCCTTAAAGGGTAACATTCCATCACCTTGTCTCCAAAGACCCACAAAAGCTGTCTGCAAGAGTTTTTTCCAAGAGCTTCGTCCGAACAGCACAATGTCTGACGTCATGTTTGCAACTGGAGGTGTGCCCCCACTACACTTCCCCGCTTTTCTGATGTTTGTAAATCAGATTTTATCATTTTTCATCATATGTAATGATATTTCATCATGTTTGTATAATGCTTCCTCGTTTCATCCTTTTTCATCATTCTCATCATACTTCACATTTTTCAACATTACTCACTGTTTTCTTCGATTTTCAACAAAAAATCGAGCTCCCGCCTGAAATTTTCTAAACACAAAGAACAAAATATTTCAAAATTAATTTGAGTCCCAGGAAGGTTCTTTGTGGATGCCAATGGGCTCGCAATTGACGAAGCACAAAGGCGATACTGATGGCGGGGCATCGTTTTGGGCTCCCGATCTCCAGGACACCTGCGTGAATGGGGTGGAATCAAAAATCGCAAATCCTATGACGAGTACTTTGCTCTTTGCGCCCGCATGAGGCGTGAGCGGATGGTTGTGTGCTTTCAATGACCCGTCAAGTAATGACAGGTCAAGTAGAGCTCTGCAGCAGCTTTTGGCCACTCTTCTGACGTTACTGCTTTGGCTTCTCAGCACTGCTTGTTCAAGACATTGCCTCCTCCATGGTGGGAAGGACTCTCGCGGCCACTCTTTCTTGACTTGCTGCGTGCTTGACGTGACGCTATGGATGAGTAGCACCACCTGTGCCGTGTCTGCACTGGCCAGGAAAGCCAACATCCGGGTTCGTGAAACGGTTGCATATTCTTGCTAGGGTCCAGACTGGAGATGCTGTGTTGGTAATGCGCGGTAATGCGCTCAGGAGCGCTTATGGACGCACGCTAGGCCCCCGTGGGCCCACGGCAAAACTTGTCCCATCGCCATGTCGGCAAAGGTTGCCAGTGGATAGAGAAGATCACCAGTATACCTGTCTTGACGGCATCTACAGCTGTATAGTCATTGCTTTCAGCACCCACCTCGTGCCGTTAGCACCCAGGACTATTAGGCGGAGCCTTAGACAGATGCTCATGACCCCCTGCCCACGGAAGCATCGCAGATGTAGGCAAGATGTCTCCCTTGAGGAGGGCCTTCCCAGATCCATACGCTCCATAGTCGCTAGTTGCTCGTAGGTACTCCTCTCAGAAACGAGAAGGAGTATGGAGTGTGCACAGCAGACCTTGTGCTCAATTGACAACTCCGGCAAGGGCTTATGAGCAGTTTAATAAACAGACATTCATGCTAGCAGGCTTGTCTTTAGTACGTGTGACGCTCTTGATTGCATGTGCTTTCAATGGTTTTAAATACTGGGATCGAAGGGAATCGGTTCGTGTGCGCGCTCGGATCGCGCGCAGAGTTCCATGGATTCTTGCGTAAAACGTTGTCAAACTGCCGTGCTCCCGCCCAGAGTGCCCTTACGAGATGGGCTTGGCAGGCGCTCCAGCATGGAGCGTTCTCGCAATTTGGGGTCGCATTGGTGCTCCCACCAATGCCACAATTTCGTGCGCATGCTCCTGGCAAAGTGTCGCTTTCTCCCTTTTTTCCTTCCAAAAATAATGAATTGTCATTGTCGTCGTTTTTGAAATGATTTTGGCTCACAACGCATGTTGCGAATCGGTGGCAGCGCAGAACAGTTCTGCCAACCTTAAAGAAACTGACGCGTCCGTACTTGTCACAGGAACTTGGAGCTGCTGAAACACACTGAGGAGGACACATGTTAGCTTGGTGCGCGTGGCATTGCAGACGCATTGTTCAAGAAACGCGAGGAAGAAGGTGTCTTCCTTCCAAGTGAGTCCTTTGCATCGCAGCCATGTAGCGGAAAACTCAGAGCATGGACTCTTTTGGCTTCTGTGGGCAATCGAAGCCATTTGCAGCCAAGGTGGCGCCTTCAATCCTTTTTTCCCTGGCCTGCTGTTAGTGGCATTCGCCGAAGGCGCAATAAGATACGTGAATTTGATCTAATCACCGCACTTGTCCTTATGTGATGTCATCCAGCATTGGACAGGAATGGTGAGGCGTACTCATGCATACTGCATCATCCGCTTGCCAAATTTATCTGAAGGCGATTTGGCCCTCTTTGATTGCTCTCTATGTGTGCCGGTGACGCACTGGGCAAGTGCAGTTGGCAAGGCCAGCAATGACGGCGTGAGCCATTTGGCATCATGAGATTTATTGGTGCTACATGAGGCAACAAGCGCGCAGATATCCGTGGCGTGGTCAACAAGAAGGTTGCGCTTTCTTTACATAATTGGCTTGAAAGTGCTTTTGGCTTACTGCATGAGACGCAACAGGACACCCTACCGTTGTTCTTTGAAACCATGATCTGACTTAGCAGATAGGTAGATGCATGTGTGACTGGCAACTTGCGACATCAATAAATTCATCCCTTCACGGACAGGCCATGTGTCTTCTTCGTGAAGTGTGGTGACACGTTGGATGCTTCAGCCTCAGAGTGTTCACATGACAAGTGCCCTGCATTATCCAGAAAAATCATCTTACAACCGCCGCTTTGCTTCAGGTATGGGATCTTGCAGAGAGAACCCATGTGCCAGTGCAGAGCACCACTCTTGAAGGTCCTTGCATGAGCTGCATGTGGTTTTCGTTGCTTGCAGTGGGTGGATCCAATGCAAGACTGTTCTCCTTTGACTTGCTCTGGGTCTGGATTGGTTGAGGAGGTCCAAGTATCATGTCGCTGCCATGAGCCTCTGGACAATCAGTCGCCATAGTTTTTCCCCATGCCACTGAGCGGAAAAGCAAATGCTGCAAGTGGTGGCGCTATCGGGCGGCGTCCTGGCTTCCTGGGATCATGATGCCCTACGCAAGCTGGCTCCGGAAGGCAGGAAAGCTGCATATGGGCCTAGTTCCGCGCCTTTGCCCTGAGGCGAATCCGTGGCCGAAGCTGTCAAGAAACACTTGCAGCCATTGAGCCTTAGCTGATGACATGATCTAGCTCGCCTCGTGCTTTGCACACTGTACCACTTCTTGTGGCTAGGGTTGGTGCGTCGCCCTTCCAGCAGCGTCTTTACCTTCGTGGGGAAGAAGCCGCTTGGCTGAGACCAAGCTGCAGCAACTTTCTTCAAGTTTCCAATCGCAGCAAGCAGGTGCTTGACATGATGCCATTTGCATCCTTAAGCTTGCCCCTGGAGGAGAGCTGGCACTGCTTTGATGCTCAGTGTGCTTGGCACAGAACGTGTAATATAGTAATATATGTGACAAGGACCTGCAAGTGGTGGTGCTGCCGCTACGCTACGATGCTGCTGCGGACCTTCGTCTGCAGTCTGCAGAAGGCCGGGCAAAGGCTACCATCATGAAGCGTCAGCGGGGTCGGCCGTAGCAAACTGCGCTCTGCCAAAGGCAACCTTGCAAAGATCAAGCAGTTGCTTCGCGAACCACAAGCCCCGGATCCTGCGGGGCACCTTGGGCTGTTGGTCTTAGATTAATCGATGATGTGCATCAGTCCAGCAAGCCCTGACTCTTCAGGACTTGCGAATTCACGCCACTTCAGCTGGCGGCACGCTACGGCCACTTGGAGGTGGGGCCCTTGAGGATGCAAGCAAGGCTTCTGAAGTGTGACAGCTGAAGGGGGTTTTGCTTGCCACACGGTGGGCAGGTGGTCCGGGCACTTCTAGCAGCAGGCGCCGACAAAGATCGGCAAGGTTGCTGGGACATCGTTTGGGCTCACTCTAGTTTTGAGCGATGGCTGATGGCTGTGGAGTGCGCAATGAGCAGGATTGGCTGAGACCACGCCTCTGCTGGAGGCAGTCGAGCATCAGAATCTTGAGGTTGCACGCCACTTGGTGGAATTGGCTGCAGACGTTGGTAAGCCCGGTCTTGGTGGGACAACGCCGTTGCTGGTGGCCGTGGAACGAGGTGATCTTCAGGTGGCACAGTTATTAGTTGAGGCAGGGGCTGACAAAGAGCAGCCAGATGCCAGCGGCCTCGCTCCACTCCATGCTGCCTGCGGTCGCCTCGAGATGGTCGAGTTTCTGCTTGCAATGAAGGCGGACCAAAATGTGCAAGATACGAACGGAAAGACGCCCTTGCGCATTGCAGCCGGGATCGGCCATGCAGAAGTTGTGCAGTGCCTGGTGCAGGCAGGGGCTGATAAAGATAGGGCCGATGCTCTTCTGGTCACGCCTCTCTGGGCAGCCGCTCGCAATGGCCGAACTGAGGTTGTGCAGCATCTGCTAGATGCGGGTGTGAACCGTGATCAGCCAGACATTGATGGCGAGACGCCTCTACGTGCTGCGGCTGAACATGGCCACTCGGAAGTTGTCTTGCGTCTACTGGCAGGACATGCCGATGTGTGCAAGGCCGACATGGATGGAACAACACCGATGTTGTCCGCTGCCCATGCCGGACATCTGACTGTAGTGAAAACTCTGCAGAGTTCACGCGCCAGCGTAGACTTGGCTGATTCAGAGGGCCGGACACCACTGGCAGCAGCTGCTGAGCATGGATTCTTTGATGTGGTCCTCAGCCTCCTCAATGCAGCTGCTGATGTTAATGGCTGCCGGACCGATGGTGCAACACCAGCCAAATTGGCTGCAAGTAAGGGTGAGCTAGATATCTTGCAGCTGCTGCAAAGCAGAGGCAGGCCCCTGCGCTATGATGTTCATCACAAGTTGAAGCATTGCCAAGGCAGAAGTCAGCTTGTCCTTGACCCATGCCAGTTGTTCACAGCTGTGGGAGGTGCAGACTTGAACCAGGCAGACATTGAAGGTGTTACACCCCTCCTTTCTGCTGCTCGAAACGGAAAGCTGAATGCTTTTCGGCTGAATCATCAGTCCTTCAACCCCAACACAGAACTCATAATGTGCTGGCAGCTGTTCGGCATTGCTTACTGAGTCCTGCCCACAATGAGAAGTATGCACATAGCATTGCATTAGCCGTTCAGAGGTTGTTCAGTACCTGCTGGATGCTGATGCTGATCCAAGTTGCCGCAGCCATGGTGCTGCTCTCAGTTATCAGCATGAGAGCTGCAAGAGCGTGTTTCTGTTTGATCACCTTCTGTAGCGCCTGCTTGCTTTGGGTCTGGGAGGTTCTGTTCTTGAAGCAGTCGGTGTCCATGTTTGAAGTATCTGCGTATGCGGACCAATGTTTCACGGTCCTTACTTGTTTTTTTCATCGCAAGCTGTCGAGGGAGTTGTCTAGCCAGCCCAGCTGGACCCAAAAGGGCCCCATGATCGGGTCCAAAGTACATGCATTGTAGCAGAGGTCGAGGCCCAGTTTTGGAACCCTCCTGTGGCTTTCCGACGACACTTGATCCGAACTCCTTTTGTGGCTGCTTCGTCACCTGCCAAGAAGTCAAATACAAGACACGGCACAATAATAAAAAAGCACATGGCGGGTCCAGTGGCGTGAGGGGCTGATGAGGCCGCATGGAAGTTGGTTTCCTCCAGCAGGATTTTTGTCATGGATGTCACTTACACAGGACATTCTGCTTGTAAGAATGCAAAACTTCTTCCTAAAGTGCAGGTGAGACTAGTTGCTTGGACTTGCCTTGAAGTATGGCCACACGATGCATCAAGTGCTTTTGACATCTCGCAGACCTTGCTCACATGAGAGCTCATGACAGTTTTTACCCAGCAGCAAGCAACGAACAAAACTGCAAGAGACCTGAAAAGCACTCCCCGAAAAACTCGCCAAGGTGGCCTTGGCTGCTTGGTGGATGCAGCTTCTCAGCGCGGACACTCTCAGGCATTTGCCAGACCAACTCCATGATCTAGCAAGGCTTCAGTTAAGCCCCCTCCGCCCTTAGACTCCAAAGGCTGCCCGGAGCTCAAAAGCAGTATGACTCAAAGGAGGTACAAACTGCACCGCAATTCTGGCAAATGAAAATGACACGTCCTCCACTACTCAGAAGCGTCCTGCGAAGTTTGTTACTTGCCACGTGATCCAGTAGGTTAAGACTTTCGGCCCACCTGTATGCTGGTGCACGTGGAGTACGTCCATCATGCGTGTGCCGGCAAGCGTAGCTCGGTCAGCAGAATTGTGTTAGGTCTAGTATACAGGAACCAGTCGAGCACCATTGTGACAGCCTGGTGCAGGTGGTTTTGCTGCTTACGCGGAGCTTGGACCACAAGTGCAAGCGCCGAAAAGTTGAGGAGGACGGCTAAAACTGCCGGCCAGCTCCACTGCAGTGAAACTGCAGTAGCTTTAACGAAGCGATGCGATCACATCATTTCGAAACTGCCGAATCATTCACTTGCCGATATGCTGGCGCTGATGCAGAAACAGTTCGTGCAAAACGCAACAAGTAAGGATGTTCTGTTGATAGAAGAGCATCAGCGGAATGGCAGACTGGTTTAGACTTCGAAGTGTTCGCCTTGCCAGGTGGCCCTCCACGTCCGCCCTCTGCGGTGCCAAGTTGTTGCGAGCTCTTCGTGAGCTGGGGCCCATGATATCTTCTGTCTAGAGTCCATGTTTGCTGGCTGGCCGTGTCATAGGGCCACCTCTGTTCGTTTCCATGTTCAGCGGATGTACTTCAGCACTACGAAATTGTATGTAGCCCGAAATGGACAGGTGCCGACGGTCGACCTGTTGTGTCCGTTGGGAGTCGCAGCCTTGGCCACTGAGCATGTGGTGAACGCGGTGAGCTGCAGAACCTGAAGTCTGCAGAGCAAGTCAAGGATGCACTGCATGCTGTGTTGTGATACTGTCAGGCGCCATCAGCCTTTAGGTATTGCACAAGCGTGACACGTGGGACAGAGCTGGCAGCCCGCAGCGAGAATGCAACAGCACTGATTGTGCAGACTGAAGGCCCATTTATACAGTTGCAGTACTCGTGAGTCAATGTCTCCATTGCCTGTACGTGCATAGAAACACACTTGCTCGTGTTCTGCGTTTTTTTGCGTGCCCTGTCGCCATGGCTTTGACACTGTCCATCGGACTGCTGAGTGGTCGGACCACGCAGGTCCAGCGACTCATCCCATCTCCTTGTCATTTCCCCAAAATATCCAGTGAAGGTTTCTGTGGACTCGGACGATTCCGGTGCAGATCTGCAGCGTCGTGCAGAAGCGCGCCGGCGTCATACTCGTTCCACCGCAACGGGTGAAAGTTCAGCCTTCGTGCTTGCTGTACACTTGTGCGCAGGCAGCGCTGCGCACGGAGCTTGCGGCTTTAGCTGCCTGGCTCTTCTTTGGGAACAGTCATTGGAAACGGCACTCCCCCCAGGCGTTGTCACTCGTGGGTGTAGCAAAGGTCACTGCCGCGGGAGCCACACTGCCGCTCTGCCATAAAGCTAGAAGCTGGCAGACTAGGGCTGCTCCATCTCAAGCCTGAAACAGCTTTGTTTCACAATGAAGCCTCTTACATAAAGTAGTTCGATTTAGTGCTTTGACTTACTTGGAGTCGTCTTGCATTTTTCATGAAGCAGCGGTCAAGTCTAAGGACTGGTACCGAGACTCTTAGACAAGCGGGGCTTCGTGATGGGGATGCGTTGAGTGCGGTCGCAGGACCTTTCCATGTTGCTGTTGTTCAGGACGGCAGCCTGGATGTTCAGTGTGCAGGAAATGCTCTGGAAAGCGGACCAAGCGCCAGATTCATGTCGGCTTTTGTTTCGAAGCTGAATGAGTGTGCTCCCATGCGGCTGTTGAAGCGTCGAAGCGTTTTCTCATCCTTGCCTCGCTCCTGAGGCACTGATTCGCCGAGATGGTGGGGTCATCTCGTGGGGTGACAGAGCTTGTGGAGGCATAGCCCAGCGAGGCAGCGAAGTGAAGACACGCGTCCCAAGAACACAGGCGATTGCAGCCCGGCAGCGGACGACCTCATTGCGGTGACGCAGATCCAGGCAAGTTCCCATGCTTACTACACTTGGAAATTGGAGGGAGGCGACTCAAGTCTGCCCCGACAGTGCTCAGCAACTGTGAGTTCCAGAGAGTCAAATCACGATCTTTCCTTGCAAGGGTTGATGTGCTCGTATGGGTGTATGGGTGTTGGCGATGTGCTTGGGCAATGTCAGAACTCAGTCCAAGCTCGCTGCCAGACCTCATCCTCGGCTTTTGCAGCCCTGCGCCGAGATGGAGGGGTGGTGTCCTGGGGCAATCCGAGGACTATCTCCGGCCAACACGATGGCAGGGCGCATCAAGAGGTGCACCAATTCAGAACAAAGTTGAGTATGCAAGTAGCGGAGGACGGGCGGGAACAGCAGCGCTGTGCACAAACAGCTGGTGAAGGTAAAAGAGCCCCTGAGCTACATGAGGCAGGGGGAGGCACCCTGTATTCAAGTTGATCTCGACGATGTCTTTGTGACGCCAGACGTGGCGGACATGTCTCAACCCAGCAAAGTGAGTGCCAGCACCTGTCAGTATCCCAGGCTGCATGCCTCTGCCTGTGCTTTCGCTGCACTTCGAAAGGATGGGCCGCGGTTTTGGCGCTCACTACTCACTTACATGGAATTATACTTGGAACTACTTGAATGGCAGGATGGGAGTGTTGTCACTTGGGGCATCGACCAGCTACTTTTTTGCAAGGGACAGGTTTCCTGATCTGATGTTGGATAGTGTGGGCGTAATTAGCGCGACAGAGCCAGATGTGCCTCTAGGTCCGGCGGCAACAGCGCCGCAGTGCAATCGCAGCTTGTGCAGGTGAAGGCCTGGGTGCTGATTGTGTGTTTGGGATGCGCTTGGAAGCTCCGCAAGTAGAGAAAGATGGAGGAGATTTGCGCATCCACCTTCGCATTCGCCGCTCTTAGGGAGGATGGTGACTTGCCGCAAACAATAGATCCTTCCTGGCATCGGAAACGACCCATGGCACCATGAACGATTCAAGCTTGTTGCTGGCAATCTCCCTAGTCATGCTTGTTCCAGGAAAGATGCTGCCGGCTGTAGTATGAGCCGGCCATTGGTACAGTAGACTAAAACTGCAGAAAGAGAAGCACAGCTGCTGCTCATTTGGTTGTGAACCATTCTTGGGACAAGGCATGCGCTCGACTTCGTGCCGTCGGGTGCTTGAGCTGAGGCAAAGTGGTGACATGGGGCTCCGCCAGCGTTGGCGGGGACAGTAGCTCCGCTCTCTGGCTTGATCATGAGAAATGTGCGGCCCTGTTGAAGCATGTTGATTACTTCTTGTTTGGCTAGGTTCGCGAGCAACTTATTGGAGTACGGCAGCTGTTTGGATTCGCCAATGGCTTTGCTGCCATCCGGAGCGCTTCCCTGAAGCACTGCTATTTGCTATTCCTGCTTCACCTTAGCAGGAGGGACGGCCAGCCAGTTGTTTGGGGTGACGTGCCCTCTGGGCGAGACGGTGCCTGGGCATGGGATCTGCAGTGAATTTGTGGCAAGCAGCGAGCTTGAAAGCGAAGCGCTTTCTGACGGTCACAAAGCAGGCACCAAGCTTCAGCAAGAGCTCCATGATGTTCGCCGTGTCTATGCTACGGACTTCTTGAGCCTGCAGCAGCCTGAGAACTGCAATGCATGAGTGAGATGGATTCAGCACGCAAGGACTCAGCCTGTGCTGCTTTGCGGGCAGATGGGCGTGTGACGTGTCTGCTTCAGTGCTCTTCTGCAATTGTTCTAGAAGTGCAGCTTGTATGTGCCATGCAGTGCTGCAGCAGGACTCATGGAACCTTGAGACTGTACCCCAACAGACAGTTTTGGGAAATTCTGCTTCGTTACATGGGGCCGGCGGCTGGTGTCGCGTCGTTTAGTTCATCGGCACAGTCTGCCACAATGCCAGTTGTAGGGCAAAGCTCATTCCGCTGACTTGCTTGATCTTGCTTGAGATGCTTTTTCCTGGGGGTGCGCTGTTCAAAAGCCTTTAGCTCACTTTCGCTTGCCTGTACCGTCCTGAACCTGCCATGGGGTTTCGTCGCATGTCATGGTCTGACGGATTTTTTTTTTGCACTTTGCGAAATTCTGATGACATAGATCCATCGCGGTGTTGCACCTGGACCCGGCTGAATTGTCTCACATTGAAGGTTGTTACCTGGGGCGCTCCGGGAAACAATCTCCCACTTCAAAGGCGCGCTGACTGGAACCACAACTGCAGTGAGTATATAGTATACAACTGCTTGCCTTCCATTGAGGCATCTGCTCCACGTGCGACAAATTTGCACCACTCGCTCGGCCTTCGCTGCTGTCCGATGCACAGCAGCATTCAGCAGCTGAGCAGTCGTCAAAGCTTGCGTAGTGGAAGTATGCAAGGCTTAGGCTTGGAGATGGACGCCCAAAATGGGCCCAAAACACTGCAAAGCGATGGGAACCCCTCAAAAGCGACACCCCAAAATCGACGCTGAGACTCTGTAAAGCGATGGGGAAACGTAAAAAGTGACACCCCCCACGTTACGACCAGTAGGCAGCCATCAAGTTTAGCCAGGCGCTCTGTTCGGCGCATCCTGGAGCAATCCCTCTTTTTCGAAAAGTTGATTTCAGGACATGATGGCAGTGTGGTGGCTTGGGGCCGTTCTGATGGAGGCCCCATAGTGAGCTTTGCTGAAAGCTCTTGCTGCTGAAGTTTTACCCCTCAAGCACTCCCTTGCTGCTCATGCGCCCATGCAAAAGGCGGAGACTGTAAAGCCGTCCAGGACCAGCTTCTTGAAGTAAAGCAGGCCGGGTCGGGCTGCTTTTCTGACAGCTTCTTCTGCCTGCAAATCCGAAAATCAGTCAAGGTGATGCTAAAGGGCAGTGCCCATGGTGTTCCGCTCACGTTGCAGCAAAAGCTGAGACTAAGTGTGGAATGTCTTGTCTGTGGGTTTGTGCGTTTTTTGGGGAGCAGGCTAACAGTAGAGCAGCAGTTATCAGAAATCAGAAGGCGCAGCTGTGAGTTAAAAGGAGCCACAGATGCAGCACTCTTTCCATCCTACCATGTCGAGAGCGATTTAAGCGGGGTGTCTGCAAGTTTGTGATGACTTCATTGACCTCCCGCCCACCCTTAAACGTGCTGGACATCTCAAATCAAAATCCTCATCTGTTTGGTCAGCTGGCGTCGACAGACTCCGCGTTTGCTGCGCTTCGTGCCGACGGTGCTGTCATTGCATGGGGCGACGTTAAAGGCCGCCTTGCAATGGAAGAGTTGATGGTACTATCATAAAATGCATCATCGTCTGCGCGGAAAGGTGGTGGGAGCTGCACACATTTGAAGCAGCAGCTCCAAGGCCTATTGCTTAGAGGAACTTGTTTGAGGGTACGGGTGTGCATCTCAGGAATTCGCCATGTCTATGCGACATCTGCAGCTTTCTGTGCCCTCGCTGTCGATGGCGCAGTTCTGGCTTGGGGTGACGCTTGGCATTTACTGGGCTGCGCCAGCAACGTTGAGCATCCCGCGATCTATTTCCCAGGATGCAGCACGTGGTGGGCATCCACCGCCTCCAGAGATGCTGCTCCCTAGATGCAAGAAGCAATTCCTCTTCCTGTCTCTTGTTGACATAAAATCACACCGCAATTTCACAGAGATCACAAGGAACAAGAGAGCTGGGTCTGAGGGGTGGGAATCGCGCACGTCGTAGCCGTAGGTTTTGAACTTGTGTCATAGCTCTCGTGGGCCCTACGGCATGTCAGCTTTGACTAAAGTGGTGGCGGCCGAAGAGCCCATAGAATCTCCAGGCTTCCAGGGTGTGG